TGCAAATACTGAAAGAAATTATGATATAGTTTGGTTTTTAGAGGTTTTCCTTTCAAGTTCTTTAGATATTCTCTGAAGAGTTTTTATTTATTTGTTTATTATTTTATTATAAATATATATTTTTTATATATTTATTATAAATATATTTTTATTATTTGTTGGAAAACTAATAATAATACAAAATTAATTCATTTATAAGTATTCCCAAAATATTTGAGCTGTAGTTAGTATTTTTACAATACATATTACAACAAATTTTAAAATCTTACATTTTATTTTCCTATATAGATTAATGAAAGCCTATTGAATTTATTAAATTATCTTTAACTTTGGGTTAAACTAAATATTTATGCATAGCACTTATAATTGTTTATCGGTAATACTGATAATGCCCATTATCTTCGATAGGAAACAGTATTTATTATTTTTAAAATGTTTATTTAAAGCCTATCTTTCACGTCTTAAAGTTTATATGATATTTTTTACATTCATTATGTTTCGAGTTTTTATTTTAAAGCCTATCTCTCACGTTTTAATGTTTTTATGACATTTCCTATATTTTTAATCAGAGGAAATTGAAAGTTATTTATTATGGAGAAGTCTAGGTTTATAGGAAAAGTAAAATCGGAAAAGATTTTCATATTACAACAAATAAATTATTTTTAAATATTTTACTTGCAAAAAAATCAAAAACTGTGATAAATATCATCTCTAACTATGTGTTCGTGTGCAATGATGACCCCTTGACCTTCCTAAGCACTCTCTCTTTTGCTCTGCCTCTCATGCCATGCGTTGATTTCCTCTCAATTAAGTTTTTAATAAACTTTAATTTCAATAACAAAACGATTTGTTGTTTTGCCAAAAAATAAAATAAAATAAAAGTAACGCGAAACGGAGGTCAACACCGGCTGACACGACAGCTAAAAATGAACAACGGCATAACGAAAATAATATAAATAATAATAATAAACCAACAAAAAACAACAAAACAGAAAACAGAAACTTCAAAATAATTTATCAGCATTCGCACGTCACGTCATCCGCAGCAGCAGAGCGATCGAGTCAGTGTGAGTGCGAGGGAGAGGGTGGCAGTGACAGAGACAGAGACAGAGATGGAGACAGCTCCCCATCATACCTCATCATTAGGCCTGCAGTCGACGTCGCTGTTGACGCTGGCGCCGGCGTTGACGCCCAACAGGTTGCCACTGAAACAGCCGCTGCCAGCGTCGCTGCAGAGGTGCGAAATTGGTTGCTGCTGTTGCTTCTTCTTCTTCTTCTACTTCTGTCTCTGTACCTGCCTCCTCCTCCTCCACCTCCTCCCCATCTTCTTCTTCTCAACTGGTTATCACGGCACTTTTAGAAATTACGTCATTTGAGCAGAGGCAGAGGCAGAGGCAGCGACAGAGGCAGCAAAGAGCGCTTTACACTGAAAAGCAAGACAAATATTTAGACTTGCTTTAGAAATAAGGTTATGAAAATAATTATTTTATTGTTTTTTTTCTTTATAGTAGAGAAAATAATTTTTAAATATGATTGATTTTATTAAGAAATCATTTTAATATTTATTTTAATTTTACAAATATTTTAACGGAAATGATAAAACCAAGTTTACGTCGTTTAGAATATATTTAAATATTATTTCTAATAGTTTTCTTGAAATTGTTCAAGTTTTCCTATTAAATCTTGTCAAGTCTTTGCCTTAAAATTATTTGCAGTGCAGACCAGCAGAGGCGTTTCAAGACGCAGGTCTAGACTGCGACCACGCGACCAGTTCTTGAATACAAAACAAAAATAAAAACAAAAAAAAGCACAAACAAACAAAATCTTAGTTGCAAACTTTTTGCAAAAACACAATCGCACACACACACACTCAGTGGCTAGCTCTTCTCACTTTGATTTCTTGCATTTGTTTTTTATTTGTTTTATTTCTTTCTTTCTATTTTTTTTTGTCAATTGGAAATGCGAATCTGTTGATTTGGGCGAGTGAAAGCGCTGAAAGTGATGGCCGGCGATCGAGCAAGAGCGCCATCTGTCGAAAAGAAAGCAAACAACTAAAGCTATCAATCATGAAGATTTCTACATATATGAAGAAAACAGCAAATCTTCCAATAAGATTATGAAGAATTAAAAAAATTTAATTACTTGTTACAAACTTTTTTTATTATTAAAATGGAACTAAAATCTAAAGCCATTAAAAAGTGGTTTTATGAATTATAGATTAGAATAAAAATTGACTATAGAAATTTATTAATAAGTACAATGAAATGGAAGATAATAATCCATAAATTTTACTAAAAATTATAAAAGAAACCAACAAGTTAAATTCCTCTATAAGCATTAAACTCAAATTCACTCAAAATTATCATAATAACCTTTCTGAATTTCTAATTCTTATCGCTAAATTATTTAAATTAATTGTACTATATTAAAACCAAAGCTTTTTTATGATAATCTTTCTATGAATCATAAATTTGTGTTACTTTCTATTTTTTCTAGACAAATCTTAATCTTAATCAACAAATTATTCATAATTCATAATTCCATTTCCTGTAGTAGTTTTTTTTAAGGAAGTTTTCCCCCATTTCGTTGACTAAAATTAAAACAGTAAGCAAAAGCTATGGAGTCAGCATTTTGCATATATTTAAATGAACAACAATATATGTACATATATATTAATGTATATATATACAGATGTGGATCGAGCGAGGTGTCATTATTGTTAATACAAATGTTATTTGACGTTGTTTTCGCGCTTGAGCTAAAGGTGATATCACCGTCGCCGCCTCAACTTGATTCGATTTTTGTTTGTTTTTCTTTTTAATTTTTTCTTTTCCATTTTTATTTTGTTCTTGCTAACGATATTGTGAGACCTCTGTTTAGATTATTGTTTAAATAAATGCCTGGGACTCTTTGTTAGCGGATCCGCTTATCGGTCAGCTGGAATTGCCAATGTTTTATTTATAAGCTGGAAACGTCAGCCATTTGATGTTTGATTTCGTTTTCGATTTCTGATAAGAGTAAGAAATGCCAGGTAATTGGAGTGAATAACTGTTATGATAACTACTTACATATATACTCCCATATATGAATACCAGGGACTTGTTTATAGATCGGTGCCAGTTCCACAGTTTTGTTTATTTTTAAGGCTCGCCGTATCTTATAGGAATTGTGCAATGATACTCACTTTAGATTATTCCAGGGAATATTGTATGGCAGCTATAAGATATATAAGTCCGATTTTCATAAAATTTTACACAAAATTCTAGTTTAATATATAATGGGTATATATTAAATTTGATGAAAATCTGTTGAAAACTGGAGAAGTTATAATTTAAAAACATATCTCACACATCTGTGCATCCCCGGAACGAACTGCCTGCTGCCGGCCACGTCTCAGAAATGTGTTGTGTTTCAAAAGTTGCAAGTCATTGTTTATTAGTGATTAAAGTTAGTTACTGATCATACATACTTACTAGTCATAGATACTTAGTGATCATAGTTACTTACTAGTCATAGATAATTAGTGATCAGAGTTACTTAATGTTCATTGATACTTACTCGTCATAGATACCTACTGCTCATAGTTAATTGCTGATCATATATTTTTTTTTTCTTATTGTTCCTATAGCGCTATATATATTTTTTATATATAGTACACCGATTCCCCATGATCCGAATAATATCCTAGTAAAATTATATAGAAGAATAACTCCATAGTTTCATTGAAATAGCTTGATCTTTGTTCCAAAACAAATCTCGTACATCTGAGCTTATGATTCCCAACTAGTTCTCACCTCCCCGGAACGAAGTGCCTGCTACCGGCCACGTTTCAGATATGTGTTGTGTTAAAAAAGTTGCAAGTCATTGTTTACTAGTGATTAAAGTTAGTTACTGATCATACATTACTGGTTATTGATACTTATTGATCATAGTTACTTAATGGTCATAGTTAATTACTGATTAGAGTTACTTACTGCTCATAGTTACTTAATGTTCATAGATACTTACTTATCTTAGATCGATTTGCCTGTTGATGCTTACCAAAAAATACTTCACAGCGTTTTAAGCTTCTGACTAAAATTATAATACAATATTTTGAATCAATATTTTTATATGGAAATTATTTTGAAAAATCAATGTTTTAAAATCGCATAACTCCGCCAAAAAGGCATCAATTTTAAATCGGAAAACTGTCCCATGTTAGTTTTTATTAGGTTAATAAATCTGCCTACTCTATTTAAAATGTCAAAAAATAATTTATTTTCTCAATTTCTGACCACTCTAAAATTGTAAAATTTTGCAAAAAAATTAAAAAAAAAATTTCTCCAAGAAATGCTTAGAACGATTCGCCTGTTGATCCTGATCAAGAATATATATGATTTATAGGGTCGGAAATGACTCCTTCACCGCGTTTTAAGCTTCTGACTGAAATACCCTGCAAAGTTATACAAAACTTTTACCATAATCATTTCTCAATATCTTCGAGTCTGAATCATTCCATTTACCCCTTGTTACCCCTTAGTCTGTGTGTAATCCCAGCCATTTTTGGTCATCTTGGTTGCTTCTGCCATTGAAACCGGTGATCTCTGTTGGGGGCGTCATCTCGATCTCTCTAGATCGTGGCCAGAATAGATATATATATATATAAGTATATTCTATATGTAAGGCCACTCATGGGCTGAGTCAGTTGTTTCTGTGTTTTGTGTTGGCTGAGACCGGCTAATTGGCGGAGGAGGAGCCACACTTGGTTGGGATGGAGACGGAGCAGAGAGACAAGAGATCGGGATCGGTGGCCGTAAAAGGCAAACCAAGCGGTTGACTGACGGCGACAATTCGCGTGGGGGCAATGGGTACTCCACTTTTTGCTCCACTCCAAACTCGAGCATGAGTTCCAGTTCACTTTAAGCTTAATTGGCTCAAGGACGGGGTCACATGTAGAGAGTTAAAAACTTATAAATATAATATAATATATTCCCCTTCTTTCTTCGATCCCTTTCCAGTGGCAGCAGTCGGAGGACAGCGAACGCAAGAAGCAAATCCGATCGCATCTCTATAAGCTGCGCGAGTCGCGACTTTGCAATCTCTATAGGCACGAACCGGATCATACCAACGCGATCATGTCGGAAACGCCCAATGGCAATGGTACCCTGGCCGGCTATGGTGCCAAGGGTCCTCTGGCCTCCAGTCATGGCGATGCTCTGCTCGATCAGAACTTCCAGAGTCTCAAGTCGAAGGAGGTTCGGGATTCCACCAGTCCCACGCATGAGCTAAGGTTCCATTCGATGACTCTGACGCAACCGAATACCACGGGCTGGGATGTCCAGACCTCGTCGGAGGTTAGTCCCGATGGCAGGGCCTATCGTACCGAAACTCTGGCCAAGACAGATGGTAAGTCTATCGGTTATTTTTTGCTATCTTTTGTCTCATGGAAAAGACAGGCAAAGACTTCTGAAAGGGGGTCTAGGCCAGTGTCTTTCCTAATCCTAACCCTGGTCCCTTGTCGGTGATGTATTTCTTTCTATGTGTTTAACCCCAAAACTCTGTTTGTTCTGTATGTCCATGTCCACCACTTCAACCTACAACCTTCGACCTTCAACCTACAACCTACAACCTTCAAACTTCGACCTTCAACCTTCGAACTATGACCTAACCACGACAACAACAGGTGTGGAGAAACTCAATGGCGGTGGCCTTGCCGAGTTCAAGGGCAGAAACGAACAGAAATCAAGTGCCTCGCATCAGGGCGATGACAAGAACTTTGTGAAGCAGGCCTCGGAGAGCTCCAAGACCCAACTGCAGGAGAAAGTCGTCTTTGGGGATGAGAACAGCGGTCGCACCGAGATGAAGATGAGCTCAACATCCACCTCATCCTCCTCCAAGGTGGTATCCTCCTCCTCAACTGTGGAATATGGGGATGAACCGCGCTATCTCCTCGATAGCCAGGAGAAGCCCCAGCAGCAGCAGCAGCAGCAGTTGCATCAGCGTGAGTGGGAGGATCAGAGGCGTCAGCAGGAGCAGCGTTATCAGGAGCAGCTACAGCGACAGGAGCAACAGATACGCCAAGAGCAAATCCAGCGTCAAGAGCAACTCCAGCGTCAAGAGCAACTCCAGCGCCAAGAGCAAATCCAACGCCAAGAGCAACTGCAGCGCCAAGAGGAGCGCTTCTCGGAGAGCCGCGAACAGAGCAACACCACCCGAAATGTCCAGACCCAGCAGCACTACGAGGAGAACAAGCGCTATGTGGATATGGATAAGGCTTCACCGGAATACCAGCAGCATGTCCAGCATTTGATGTCGCAGCCCGGTGAAATTATTTCCAATACGGTGGAATACCCAAAGCCGAATGTCAAGATGATTACCACTGTGAAGCGGCTGCCCGATGGCACCATTGTCAAGAACAAGCGTTACGAGACGGAGCAGCTGAGCAGCACGCCCAGCCACAGTCAGACCACTCACAACCAGACCCATAACCAGACCACCCATAACCAAAATCAAGTCCACAATCAGCGACGTGTCCAGCAGGATGTCCAGGACCACAGTAGCCAACGCGATGTGGTGGACAATGTGGAGCAGCAGCAGTTGCAGCAACATCAGCAGCAGCAGCAGAATGTGACCGAGTCGCAGCAGAGCTCCTTCTCCTCGGTAAAGAAGTCCAGTCGTCGTTTCTCCACGGAGACCACTTCAGAGACCGTCGAAGAGTACGATGATCGTGATCAGGCTTTGCCCCGTGTGCAACAGCATCATCAGAAGACTCCGTCTCAGACCCCTTCGCATCATGTACCATCACCCTCAAGCCGTCAGTCACCGGGCCGGGACTTTAGCACCCATGGCTTTCCATCGGTGCGTCCGAATAAGCCCACCCAGGAGTATCCCTCCCAGAGACCCACCACCGAGGAAGTGGTGACGGTGCGATCCGAGAAGAGTCGCCAGGTGAAACAGCATCAGACCACTAGCACCGAAACCGAGGTCCTGGGCGATGACTATCATCCACAGTCCAAGTCAACTCCCCAAAAGCTAAGGGAGGCACCCACGCCCAACTTTAGTACCCATGGCTTTCCGTCTGTACGCTCACCTTCGCGACCGGATCAGCCCGATGGCGAGGTGCCATTGACCACCAGGACAGTCTCTCGCAATCAGAGTGCCAATCGCAAGATCAACACGGAGCGTATCATTGAGACACAGGTGGAGCAACCGGGTTCACCACGTACCGTAAGTCCACGTCGATCTCAGCCACGCGAGGAGACGGCACCGGCTCCGACTCCAACCCGCGGACCAGCTGGAAAGCCCAGTCAGACCCGGCCTAGCACCAACTCCGGAGCTAGTCCCACCACCAAGACGACCGAGACGGTGACGGTGACCCGCAGGCAGCTGCAAAAGGAACGTGAAGTGGATGCCGCCCATCGGGCCTTTGCCGCCTCGCTGCGTAGCAGTTCGCCAGCGGAGAGTACCACATCGGTAGGATCCCATCATCAGACACCTCGTTCGAGCATCTCCTCGAATCGCACCTATCGACGGGAGATGCGTGAGGGTTCCCACGAGAGTCAGGCACCATCGGAAACTAGCCGAATTAGCTCCAGCACGGTGACCAGGCATACGACCGGAGGAACCACCACAAGTACCACCACAAAGACCACCAAGAAGCCAAGTCCAGTGGTTAGTCGAGGTCCCAGCGAGCCTAGGTCGCCAACACCCAACAAGACGGGAAGAGCTCCCAGCGAGCCCAGATCGCCCACACCGAAGGCAGGAGGAGGTAGTGTGACCACCACCACAACAACTACGACCACAAGCAGCACCATTAAGGGAGGTTCAGTGCCAGCACAAGCTCCAGTTTCCCCAGCACCAGCACCAGCACCAGTACCGGCACCAGCCAGTCCTGCTCCAGGTACGAATTAGAGAAAAAATGAGATAAAATGATCAAAGTAAATAAACCCACATGACTTTATATATAATATATAATGCTATATAAATATTGGAACCTATGAACTATGTATATGAATGTATATCCTTCAGATAACAAGCTATCACAGTATACGTATACTACCACTAAGCCTGGCGATATATTCTCTCTGCCACCAACTACTCCTCCTACTATTAACAACGAACCAACACTAACCACCACCACCACCACCACCAACAACAACAACAACAAAAAGACAACAACAACCACCAACAACAACAACAACAACAAGAAAAATCAAGAACCAGCGAAAACCATAACAGAAACCATAACCGAACCCGATTCCCAACCGATCCGTAAGCTCCAGGTGAGCGCCAATGAGGCAAAATTAGGATCTGTGGTGGCGGAGGAGGCGCCCTGTGTCCGTCGTCACTATTACCAGCTGGGCCAAGAGGGGGAAGAAGAAGCCCCAACAGCCGAGATGGCAGACGGGAGCTCTGGGATGACCCTGGTAAGGCTTGAAAAACCCAACACGAACTGCAAAGAAAACAAAAATCAAGAAACTCTGTACACTTTTAACTATGCTATATACTTTCTTTTTTATTTTGGAACTATTTTGCAAATAAAAATAAATTCTAAAAAAAAAACCAAACTGAAATGTTCAAACACAAATCTTAAATTGCACTGAAAAAAAAAAATATATAAAACTGAAATAAACACTGAATTGGGAATGCAAATGGGCAATGTCGAGCAAGAGGAGAGAGAAATATCTTGCTCCATGGTCTACTAAGTCTACCAAGTCTAACTTTTCCTCAAACTCCTCTCGAGCTTTCCACTAATGGGTACTACTACCATCGGTCTCTGCCTGAGGTTAAGCCTTTTGCCTGCGCCTGTAGAAATCTGCTAACATTCCCGTATGTAGTAAATATTTTGAAGCTGCTGCCAGCGTAGTTGTGACTAACTATTTTAACCCCCCTTAACTATCACCGTAGACACTCACACACACCTTAGCACAAACCCACCCACACAAATCGGTTAATGAAGTAGAATGAGAGATCACTTAGAGAATCACGATCCCGCCCCCAAAAATCTTATGCCCTGATCCGTTGCAGCCAGCAAGAAGCCGCATCCGCAACTGAGAAGGCAGTCCCAGGAGGAACCGGAACCTCAGCTAAAGCGTAGCTCCAAGTCACCAGGCGTACAGAGGGAGACAACCTTCGAGGGTCGTCGTCGCGTCTCCCAGCCGGTAGATGGGGAACAGGATCAGTTGGCCATCGAGGAGTTGATCATTATCGAGCAGGTTAATGGGGCTCAGCCATCGGTCAGTCCCGAGAAGGGTCCTAGGGCCATGCCCAGGCAGAGTCCGGAGAAGGAGCAACCACGTGTGCAACCTCAAGTCTCGCCACGTCAAAGTCCTGAAAAGCAATTACCCAAAACTCAGACACCCGGTGTCCCCTTGCGTCAGAGCCCCGAGAAACAAGTGCCACGAGCCCAAAGTCCCGAAAAGGGACCTCAGCCACGTGTCTCACCCCGGCAAAGTCCTGAAAAGCAGCTGACCAAGGAGACGCCAATGAAACCCCGCCAGAGTCCTGAAAAGGAGCACCGAACAGAGGATGAAATCTTCCGTAGCACCATTACCAAAACCGAAAAACGAACCACACACAATCTTAACGAAGAATTCATAACGAACGAACGAGATCATCAGACAACTAACGATAAGAAACCCCAAGCTCCTAAAGAACCAAAACAAGAAGAACCCACATCGAAGCCGCTGGAGACCACAGAGAGTCCAGATGGTGGTTTCATTTCCAAGGGAAACGATGTCGAGTCCGAACCTGAGGAGAACAAGTCACCCACGTACCGCAAGAAGGGTTTAACACGTCGCGAGACCTTCGAGGATCGCTGTCGGAAAATCTTGGGTATGGAAGAAGACGGAGACACTCAGGGAAACTTTACTCAGCGGCCAGAGAATGATGATGATGATAATGATGATGACAAGAAAAATATTACCCAGACCACCACCATCGAGACTATAGAGGTAAAGATCGAAGATTGTCCCGATGATGATGATGATGATGAACCACGTCGTGTCACAGAGACATTTGTGGTGCGTACCCAGCCCAAGATTAAGGTGGATGAAGAGCTTCTTGTGGATGTGACCGAGTCCGAGGAAGTGGAAGTTCTGACCAAGGAGCAGCAGAGTCCCAAAAGTCCCAAAAAGGAGCCAAGTCCTATGCATTCCAAAAAAGAAGAGCCCAATAAGTATCCTAAAGAGCCAGAGGGTCCCAAGTATCCCAAGGAACCTGAAACTCAAAGATCTCCCAAGAAACAGGAAACCCCTAAATATTCCAAGGATCAAAAGACACCCATCAGCCCAAAGGATCAAGAAAGTCCAAAGTATCCCAAGGAGCCAGAGCAGAAGAGTTCCAAAAATCCCAAGGAGGACGCTGAGACAATTAATGTCAATGAGGAGACCACTATTGTCATAACCAAGCAATCCGGATCCAAGTCTCCCAGTCCCACCTGGTCACCAACTCTAGAACGTCGTGTTCCTAAAAAGTCAACGTCTCCAACACCTGCGGTGGAATCACCCTCCTTTGGCAGAAAATCTCCAACCAAGCCAGAGCCAAGTTTCGTCACCGAAAAGATCATCGATTGTCAGGGTAAAACCGTTGTCGAGAAGATAACTCAGAGGACGCGTTCGCCAAGCCCTAGCTCAGCCAAAAAGACTCCCAGGCCCACACAAAAAGTGCCAGAAAAGCAGCCTGAAACTGAATCCGAACCAGAGAAGGACTCCGAAACCGAGATAAAGAAGAAAACCAGTGTGAGCAGCATTACGAAAACCGAAACTGAACGTCGAAACTCGCGTACCACAAAGGGAAAGCAGCCTGTGGCACCCAAGGAACCGCAATCGAAAGTACCAGCTCCGAAGAGTCCTCGAAAGGATTCCCTAACTGGTCGCAAGCGGGACAGTGTGGTGGAGGAGACTCGCACAACCACAAGCACCACAACGACTACAACAAATCGACAGGGTCGTAAGCCCAGCGATACCAACGGTTCTACCCCATCATCCATCAAGGATCGTCTTCGTTCTTCGCCGCGCAAGCAAAAGACTTCACCCCAACCGGCTCGAACTCCAACTCCGGCACAGACACGTGGTCCCGAGGATAATGTAGATGGGGATTCCACTTCGCCAGATGCTAGTCCCACGCGGGTAAGCAACGAACGTCGACGTTCGAGCAATATTTCCGTGCACACGGAAATCATTATCGATCACACGGCTCCCAAATCACCCAGAACCGAAAGGCGACCGCAAAATCCAACAGTCACAGCTGCTCCCAGTCCCATTAGGAAACTTCCTGTAACAGAGCGCAAGGAGTCGGCACCTGTGCCTCGGGTCACACGACGCGATAAAACCGAAAAGGTGACCCGCTCCACGAGCGAGAATATCATCAAGGTGAGCGGCACAAAGCCCCACCATCCCGAGATGAGTAGCCTGAAGCCAGGTGGAGAGCGGACTCGACCCAGCAAGTGCTGCACCACCAAGACAATTAATCTTAGCGAGCAACGCATTCACACCAGCACCGATATCGAGGGTGTAATCATTGATATTCAGCAGGCGAAGAGTTCGCGGGAACCGTCACCCGATCGCATTGTACCCACACCTGTGCCCGCGGAATTGGAGACGGGCAAGCCACGTTACCCGGACGTTGTCCAGGAGCCAGATGATGAGCCTCGTCGCAAGCCACAGGTCACAAATATTCCAATTTTCGAGGAGGAGTCTCAGGCCTATGTTGGTTATCAAATCTCCGAATTGCGTAATTCCAATGGCGTAGAGGTGGACATTCTGGACAACCCCACTGTGGAGGCGCCCAAGAGTTTGGATTACCCGGTAAATACACCCGATACGGATGAAAGCTTACTGAGTGTCCACGAGAAGGTCTCACGATTCACCCACTCTGCCGAGAAGGTGAAGCAGCCACGGGCTTCAGCTCCATTTAGCCGGGAATTCGATACGCACTCCAAGATCCCGGAGAACGACGATTGTCTGCTGAGCATCAACCAAAAGGTGGACAAGTTTTTGCGAACTGCCGAGAATGTAACCAGGCCAGCTTCTCTCTCCCCCCGACCGGAAATCGAACGACCAAATCTGGACGAAATCGATGAGGAGCTCCTTAGGGACGATTGCACCCTGAGTGTGTCCCAGAAGGTGAGCAAATTTATCGATACTGCCGAGAAATTGGCACCGACCGTGCCACAGAAGTCACCGCGTCTGGTTGCCAACATTGAACGCCACATTTCACGGCAAAGCGAGCCAGAACGGGATCTGGATGAGGAATCGGAACCGGAGCTGGAGCGGGAGACAGATCAGGAGGATGGGCAGACCAGCCAGTTGGAGGAAGAGGAGGAAATCTGCCGAACGGTAACCAGAAAGGAAACCATTAAGGAAGTCAGGCAGCAGGAGACTAGAGAGACGACCCGTAGGGATTCCAAGGGAGAACCTGAAAGATCTCCCAAGAAGGTGCCACAAAAAGAGCCCCAAGTGAAGCCAAAGGAGGAGACAACCAAGGAGCCTAAGCAGCCGGCTAAGGTGCCCCAAAAAGTGTCACAGTGGGAACCCAAACAGCAACCTCAAAGGCAGCCAGAAAAGATTAGCCAAAGGGAGCCGAAACAAACATCCCCAACTAAGTTTAAAGGTGAGCCGGAAAGGATGCCCAAAAGAGAGCCCAAGCTTACCCAAAGGGAACCCGAAAGGCTGACCAAAAAGACACCGGAGAAGGAGCCGCGCAAGGATTCCCTGAAGCAACCCGAGGAAGAGTTTGAGCTTTCACCCGAAGAAGAAGAAGAATTCGGTGAGGAGCCTTTGCCCATGACCAAGACGCACACCACAGCCATCGAATTAAAGCGTCAAAAGGACATCCTCAGTCGTCCCTCAGTCTTCAATCAACGCACACCAGAACGCAGACCAATCAGCTCACCGTCATCACCAACCAAAATGAATGGAAACCGAGGCCGACCAAGTCCAAGCACCAGTTTGATTACCGAAGAGAAGAGATCGTACAGAAATCAGGTGACAAATGCTAATAAGCCGGGACCTAGGAAGACCTCTACTCCTTCGGTCACTCCCTCTGCCTCTGCCCCATCCCCGACAACGGCAAAGACCACCACCAGTTCCAGTTCCAAGCGCATGGAGCACATTACCCAACAACAATGGGTAGTCCAAGATGTGGATGTCGATGTAGAAGTAGTGGGACCAGCACCTCCCTCCCATACAACCGAAAAGCCGCAAAGGAGCAACAAATCTCCAACACCGTCGTCACGTTCGCCATCACAATCTCCCTCCCGTTCGCCCAGTAGACGCACCTCCAGCAACTTGACCACTGAGCACCGTCACCCGCACCCGAGCACTACCACTACCAAGACAACAACTGGCCCCAAACCGACCTCGACTCCGACTAACCCAACCAAAGCCGAACCCGAAATCACACCCATTGAATCTGTTACAGAGAAAAGCACTACCATCATTACCACCACGACGAGCACCACAGGACGAAATGTGGCCAATCGCAGGAATGTGTTTGAACCAGCACAGGATTCTCCTCCAGCGGAGGCTGACCAACCCACCGGACGTCGTCCCTCGTATATGGATCACACGAAGAGCTCACTGGAGCACATCCGACGTGATTCGCTGGAGATCAACAAGAGCCACTATTCGAGAAAGTCGTCCGTGGAGGATGATTCCCCAGTTGAGCCACGTAATCCCAACACAGCTGTGAAGTTTGATGTGCCCCGCAAGACACCGATGCGAGGCAGCGAAGAGCCCAGGAAGACGTCTCTCAAGGGTAAAGATGATGACTCCGATTTAGAGGTAGAAATCGAAGAGATCTTCGATCTGCAGAGACTGGAGCAACTACTGGAGACCGTGTCCAGCTATGAGATGCGTCGCCGGATACGTGCCCAGATGCGTCTGATCCGCAAGAATATGATCAATGCGGGCACTACAATCAGTAGCCACACCATTACCACCACAACGTCCACAAGTTCGGGCAAGAGTTCGCCACTGCCCAAGAGGCGGGAGCCGAGTCCTTTGGCCAGTCCGGAATCCAAGACGACCAGCGGTAATCTGAAGGAAGTGCGCACAAGTACTGCAAGTCGCCGACAGCAGAGGGTGGAGCAGGTGGACAGCACCACGTCATCACCGGGAAAGACCTCACCATATGGTAAGCCGCCAGTGAAGCCCAGGGAGAGAAGCGCAAGTCCAGCTCAAAAGCGTCGTATAAGTCCGCCGGGAAAACCGGCACCGGCAAGTGGTAGTACTACCACCAAGGTCACCACAATTACCACAACCACTGCCTCCCGTGGAACGCCTGCAAAGTCACCACAAGGACCCATTTGGGCTGATCGCTCCAAGGTGCTCAAGGGTCATGCTCCGGTGCCCCAGACAAATGGCAATAGTACACCAAGAAAGGGATCCACTTCAAGCACAACCTCAAGCAGTGGCAAGGTCACACGCACAATGACCAGCTCCAGCACCATCACTAGCTCCAGTAGTAGTAGCAGCACAAATAAGCGGAATAAGCCCCGGGAGGAAGATTCCATTACCTCCAGCTATGGCGTGGGACCCACCGATGAGAACGGACTGCCGCTCTTTGGGATTCGGGCGCTCAAAAAGAAGACGACGCCACCTGTAATGACGGTACAGGAGCCCTGTGAGACCAAGCAAGGTAATTATATATACTTATCCTTCATTAATCCTTTTTAATATGATTATCTTCTGTAATCCATTTTCAGAAGTCACAGGCTATGTGATCGAGGAGGAATTCTACTCGGATAACAAATCCCCACCGCGTCACGAACGCAAGGAGCTGATCTACTCGAGCAATTCGGATGAGCTGGCTGCCATTAAGCAACAGCTCCAGCAGGAGGATGAAAAGGACTACACACCGCCGGAACTGGACTCCAGGGTGGTGCGAGAATTCAAGAAGGTGGAGGCCCAATCGCAATCCCTGCCCGAGGATGCTAGATATGTGCGTCGCGGATCGGTTAAGGAGCTCAGCGAGAAGTTCATACGCAAGGAGTCCTCCTCCTCCACGCACTCGACCACGGTCCAATCGTTGGCAAGGAACGAGGACGAAACTGAGGAGGATAGCGAGTCCAATGAGGTGTGCAGTGTGATCGAGGCGCCACAGATGCGTCAGAATCAGAGTCATGTCAGCAGCACAAGCACACGGTCCAGCAATACACGATCCTTCCTGAACAGTACAGCGGATCAGCGTCAGGTGACCAGTGTGGATGATGTCCTTGAAAGGATGCGCAATGCGGATAATGGTGAGCATCACACAGCTCTCTATCTCTGTATATTATTTATTATACCCTTGCAGGGTATTATAATTTCAGTCAGTATCTTGATCAGGATCAACAGCCGAGTTGATCTAACCATGTCCGTCTGTCCGTCTGTCCTTCTATTCGCCTGTCCGTTTCTACGCAAACTAGTCTCTCAGTTTTGAAGCTATCTGAATGAAACTTTGTAGTTAACCTTCAATATATTCTCACTCGTATATATGTCGGAACGGGCCGGATCTGACGACTATATAATATAGCTGCCATAGAAATGATCGGAAAATTTTTACAAAAAAAATATAACATTTTTAGTTTTCAACAGAATTTAATCAAATTTGAGATACAGCCTTTTTATATTATTCTACAATTTTGTGTACAATTTTATGAAAATCTGACTACTATATCATATAGCTCCCATAGAAACGATCGAGAAATTATTACAATTAAAAATAATAACGTTTTCAGTTTTAACTGATTTTCATCAAATTTAAGGTATATCCTTTTTATATTATTCTACAATTTTTTGCAAAATATTATGAAAATCGGACTACTATATCATATAGATGCCATACAAACGATCGTTTGATGTAGAGGAAAAATGCAAATCTGTGAATGTAAAACTGCAAACATAATATGTATAGGTGAATGAAATGAAAGCAGGTATTACTTCAATGTTTTTTAACATAAATATACATAATTTTTATTGTAGGGATTCCTAGTCATAGAAGTTCTATCTGCAAGGGTATATAATCTTCGGCGTGCCGAAGTTAGCTTCCTTTCTTGTTTATTAATTTATTTGTTTAATTTATTATTCAACAGTTGAGGAGCCCGGTGACAGCAGCGAGGATCGCGAGGCTCGTGCCTTGCTCAACAAATTCCTGGGGGCCAGTGTGATCATGCAGGGAGTGGAGAGCATGCTGCCACCCACGGCCACAGGTCAACGTTTAAACAGTCAAGGGGTGAGTTTTAAAAGTAAATCTTTCAGATATATTATGCCACATATATGAAGCTGCTTCCCATATTGTAATATTCGTGAAAAAAAGCGCAGGTCTCGCACCTGTTGCACGTTCCTGAAGCACTCATTGTGGCATCATTACCTAACCTCAATGCGGCGGCGCACAACACGTGCACGTGCTCGATTAACCGTTAACTGAGCGCATCATTTTACTCTTGCTCTCCCAAATTCGCGCTTACTCTCGCTCTCTCTCTCTGTCAATCTCTCTAACATGCAACTTTAAGCTGTCTCTCCTTACTCTTCTTGCCCCTGCCACAGCTTGCAAGCATACATTCTCTCATACATACTTACATATATGTGTGCCGTGTGCGTGATGTGATGCCTCGCTGGTCAGAGAAGCAAAAAGAGAAGGAGAAGCAACAACAACGACAGAGGCAGCAAACGGCTCGCCCGACTGCGGCAGCGGCAGAGCGCATCTCGGGCATCTCGAAATCGAAAAATTGTCAGTACAAACTCAGAGGCGGCATCGATCACTTGCGAAGAACAACCGAAGAATAACGGGGCGAAAAGTGGCTGGCAAAAGGCTAACAAAAATATATATAAAAAATTGATTACAAGGCCTGTGTTCGTTTAAAAAGCATAACAAAAGACAAGTTTTGGTTCCACAAATACGAAAAAGAAGAATCATAACCGTAATTTTTTTCCTGTGCGGCAGAGAGTTCTGTTATTATTAATAGTTACAGTTGTTGTTGTTGTTACATGGTGAAAAAACGCGAGTGTCCATATTTGGTCTAACGGCGAAAATTTGCCGCAAATCCGGAGAGCAAAGAGAGTGAGTGAACAAGAACAACGGGAAGGCTGATGCGAGAGCGAGAGGCTGAGGATAATGCGATAATGGGGGAGGGCGGGGGCCCAGGGAATAGGGAAGTGGGCCAGCCAAGAGAGTCGGAATAGAGATGGAAAGGGGAAAAAAAAGTAAAGCTAAGCAAGGGAGGGGGATCGGGCATCGGGGGCGGGGGCGGGCAAATACTTTTGTCAATTATTTTTAGTGCGCATAATTCGCTGGCAAGAAGAATTCCTGTCACGACACCTCAAAATGCACCTGAAAGGCGACGACACACCGCAGGCTATCTAGCTAGCTCTCGATATATGTACATATATAAATATATAAAGCTATATACAAGTGTATATACGCGTACATATAGCTATTTATACATGTATACGAGATACAGACACGCCATAGAGCAAATAAATAAATAAATACATTTAAAAACAGAGCAAAGACTAAGAGGAGCAGGAGGAAGAAGACGGAGAAGGAGGAGGAAGAGGAGGATGGATGGATGGATGCATGAATGAGAGAGCGAGCGGTGAGCGGGAAAAGCGTACGGAAAATTTCGACAAAAATAGCTCCAAACGGCGGGCACTATTTTTACGGACTATTTTACGGGAGACTATGTTGGAGCATTTTTTTTGTTTTGAGTTTTACTTTTTGGGCAACACACACACACACACACACACATAAAGCGTAAAAGGGGCGGGAGGTGTATGTGCATGTGCAGCACGGCTGACTCTGGCATCCGATGATCCCGTTTCCTTCACTTGCGTGAACCAAATACCGATTCCCACAGATATATGCATATATATCTACATATATATATATAGGTATATATATCTATTCCCTGATGCTGCGATTTTTCCCCAGAAATAAGTACTTGAATATTTAAAGATGAGCTAGAACAAAAGCTAAAACAAGGTGGTTATACAAAGGATAATATTATAGTTTGTAGAAGAACTTCATCTTGGAACTATCTTATGATATAACTTGTTTTTTACTTGTTTTTACTCAGTAATTACTTCATTTTATTTATCTATCAAATACCCTTTCATTATCCATAATTACATTTATTATTTGCATTTTCATAAAGTCGCAAAAAGCTTTTCTTTTTCTTAATGATTTTATCTTGTAAAATGTATATATACATGCATGCCTACAGATAATGTCCTATTTTAAAAGATTTATATTTAACTTCAAAGAATATTGTAGAATTGCAAATAGCATTTGTTTAGGTACCAAAATAAATTAAGGGAAAATTAAAAGGTTTATAAAGAAAGATATATGGGAATAAAGAAATCTATAGGTAGTAATGTTTTCTAGTCCCAGAAGTGGATATAACTTTGAAAATTTAATCTTATTAAGATTTTAGATAGATTAGATTTTAAAGATATAGATTTTACATAATTCAAATTTTGGATATGATAAATCTATTAAAATTTATCTTAGATTATTTGGAGAAATCTTTAAAGAGCATATTTATAGAAGATTTGCTTAAAGACTTTAGAAAATCTTAAAGTAATGTAGATTTAATAGAATAAATTAAAGATCATAACTTATAACTGATAAATTTTATAGAGTTACTTGTAGAATTAGATAAGAAGGAGATAAAAGAAATGCTAATACTAAAACTGTTGTTAAAAAAATTAAACAAATTATTTAGCAGTGTAAAAGATTTGATAGATTTGAGTAAATCTTTAAGAGTGGAAGAATTGGATAAATAAAATTAAAAAAACTTAATTAACCAATCAATCAATCAATTTGAAGTTAATTTGGAAACAGTTCTTAGAAAATTTCTATAAATCTTTGATCTTTTAAATGGTTCCATAAATTATAATAAATAATAAGAGTTCAAGTGATCTTTATATTAAGATTTCTATATATGTTTTATAAGATTGTTTTCAAAACTTAATACTTTATATACTATTTTCTAAATTGTACTTTTCACTTATGATCCTCATGACTGATCATAGGCTGCACCTGGCATTTAGTTCAAATGGAGAACATCCACTTCCCTGGCTCAAGATTCCGTGTCCAAGTGCAACTCCATGGATCCACGATTCCAAACCGAATCGAACTGGAACGTGGAGCCGTTTGCTATTTGCCATTTTCAGGTGTGTGTTTTGTTGCTGCTGCCCCTGGTACTTGGTTGAGCGTAGCATGGAGAGTCCATCTCTGGACCGAACCCAGCTCTTCCCAGCTCCCAGCTCCCAGCTCCCAACTCCCAGCTCCAAGTGCGATCCCAGCTCCCCACTTCTGCATTTGGTGATTAAGCATTGCCGCCGTTGTTGCAAGTGCTTCGAGTTGGAAAGCCGGTTTCCTCTCACACTATTGAGTATAGAAAATTTGCGATAGATGGAAGAATAATATATATATATAAAATATAACTGAAATAGTCTTGAGTCTTTAAACAAAAAGAGAATAGGAGAAACCTTGAAGAGGTTATAAAGACCACAAGAGGTTTTACAAGCTCTATAAATCTATCCATTTCTAAAGATTTTCTTTTGCTTATATTTTAGACAAAAGCACTGTTTTTAAAATATAGGAAAATCCGGAAAAAATACATATAAAACATTGAAAAGTTCCTTGAATCCATGGGATAATAACTTAAGCCCCGACAGAACCAGAAGAAACAGCTGACAAGAAATAAAGTTAAGCCCTCACAAGTGTTGTCAGGGAGTGATCAGTGCAAGATGCATGTTCCCCAGATATACACTATATATATAAAGATATATATATATATATATTTATGTATATATCTCAGTCACAACTGAAGTGACTCCCAGAGAGCTCCAATCATTTTTATTTTTTTGTTGTCTTCCTGCTTTTGTCTTTTGACTTGTTTTTGTTGCCGTTTCATAATCGCTGTGCGTGTGTTGTGCCGCCTTTGTCTTTTTTTTTTGTCTCGCATTTTGCATGTCAAATAATTTCTCAGTTTTTGCCCGGGCTAAAAATACAAATAATAATAATAATAATAATAACAACACATAATGAGTGGCACAGCGACGAAACAACATAAAAATCGAAAAACCGAATGAAAGTCAATTTGGAAATGGACAAATCATTTTTCTTTCTCTTGGAAAATTTGTATAGATTGCTTTCTATTTTTTTTGCTTTTTGTTTTGGGAAATTTTTGTGGAATTGGTGGAATTATATATATTTGGAATTTATTCTAAAGGAGATTCATTTACTTACTTATTTAATAATACTGAGTTAAAGGAAAGCACATGATTATCAATATGACAACTTATTCGACAAATCAAAGTTTACAAATTTCATAACTAAGCCAAAAATGCATTAATTTAAGTTCGGAAAGCTGTTCCATGTTAGTTTTTATCACGTTAATAAAACTGCAAACTCAGTTTAATTTTTTTTTAAATTTAAAATTTTCGTCAATTTTTTTCGACAATTTTAACGATGAAACCCCTTAAAAAATTGAAAAAATTAAATTTTTGTGGAACATAGCTAGATCGACTCGGCTGTTAATGCTGATCAAGAATATATATGATTTATAGGGTCGGAAATGACTCCTTCACTTTCTTTTAAGCTTCTGACTGAAGGCCCATTACCATTTTTGTACCGATATTAACAATATTTTTATATGAAATTTTTCGACAAATCAAAGTTTAAAAATCTTATAACTAAGCCAAAAATTCATTAATTTTAGTTCGGAAAGCTGTCCCATGTTAGTTTTTATTACGATAATAAATCTGCATACTCAGTTTAGAATTTAAAAAATTTTTAATTTTTTATTAATTTTTTGACAATTTTAATTTAACAAATGTTCAAAATTTTGAAAAATTAAATGTTTGTGGGACATTGCTAGAAAGATTCGCCTCTTGATGCTGATCCAGAATATATATGGTTTATGGGGTCGGAAATGACTCCTTCACAGCGTTTCAAGCTTCTGATTGCAATTAAAGGTATCAAAATTTATATAGAATTAGTTTTATCTTACGACCTATTAAAAACTTCCCATTCTAATAACTGCAATAATGTATATATTTTCTCACCAGAGAAATTGCTGGAGAGTCATTAAAAATGAGAGAAATTCTTGTTTTCTTTTTTATACAATAATAAATAAATGTTTCTGGTGTATTGTACAAATTGCTGGCCATCAATCAAATGGCAATCTCTCTCTTTCGTTGTATTTTTTCTATGTTAAATGACAGTGTCAAAGCCAAAAAAAAAAAACAGCAAAAAAAATAAAAGAAATGTTAAAAACTCTTTTCGACCAGACAGTCAGTCAATGGCCAAGTGCAGCGGCCAAATCAGCTTACTGGCAATGATCGCTCTGGTCAGCTGCACTCCCCGCCCACTTGCCACCCTCTTTTAATTGTTTTCTTCTTGCAATTTCCATTATTTTTCTCTTGTTTTTTTTTTTTGTTTTTTTGTTGATTATATTTTTGTTGTTTAATTTTTCATTTCCATGCTTGGCTTGGCCGCCCCTCAATTTGTTACGCTTTGGCGCAATTGCGCCAAATAGTTGGCAAAAGGCTTTTTCAGGTCTTTCGGGCCAGCCTCCTCTGACAGGAACAACAAAAACAAATGAATACAAAATATATATATATCAAACGAATAGAAATTATTAAAAATAAACCCAAAGGAAAAAAAAATGCAAATGAAATTAAGTCAAATTAGAGAGGGAAAACTTTGTGGTGTCCCACATTTTAACAAAAACAAAAATAAAAACAAAAGAATTGAGAAATGTAAAAAATGTTTGGCAATTAATTTTTCAGGTTTCCTTCTTATTATTATTATTATTTTTTTTGTTTATAATACAACACAAATATTATATAAAAAAAAACACAGAGAGAGAGAGAGAGCAGAACTTGGAAAATAGAGTGAGAGAGAGTGGAAAATTCAAAAGAACAAAAATATGAGAAACTTTTCCTCTAACCAAAAAATATGGTTGACTCTTGTTGCTGTGTGTGTGTGCTTAAATAATTTATAATTAAAAATAGCAAAAGGCGTGTTGCAAGAGGAAGAGAGAGAGAGAGAGAGCCAGAATGAGAGCGGGGGCGTTTTTCGAAAATGTTGAAAATCAGTTTTCGGTTTTTCAGAATTCAACAAAAAAAGTTTTCCCCATTTGCCGCTGACCAAATTTGGTCAAATTTATATAAACAATGATACATTTTTCATCTCAAGCAGGGAGAGAAAAGAAAAACGAGAGAGAAAGGAAGGAAACTTTGTGGAAATTTGCGTTGTTTTTCATCTTTTGAAATTGCAGGTCAGCCAACGTGGCGTATACTTAATTGCACTCAATATAGCTATAAAGATACAGAGTGTATATATAAATATATATATCAATTTTTGGCCATAAATGCTTTTAGCTGATTTATCTGATGTGTTTTTGGCTGCCACAAAACAAAGAGAGAAACTTTATTGGCCAAGTTTTTTCTGAAATTTTCAATGAAAATATGAACATATTATTTTCTTTCGTTTTTTTTGTGCCAATTAAAATACAATTTTATTTTGCTTTCCATTTTGGCTGATAAGATTTAAGGTTTTGATGTTTTACGATATCGATGAACTCGAAAAGCTTTTCTTTAATTGTTAATAATAATTATTTTTAATGTACTCTCTTTTAAACATTATGGCGCTTTGTTCAAGTTCATCCCTATGGTCAACGTGTCGTATACTTAATATATGCTTGAATTATTTTTGGTTGATATTACGCATACGCCAGGTATGCCCACGAACAGGTATCGTTCAATGATTAAAGCCATTAAAGCGGAAGCTAAAAAAAACCCAAAACAACACACAAAATCTAAAACAAATCACGGCTAAGGACAAATTTTAGTAGTGACAAATTGATTTAATTCTCCTTCAATCGTTGATTGCTATGGGTCTGGTTTTTTTTCTCTTGTTTTTGTATTTCTTTTGGGGACCAATTTTCTTGGCAAGTGAATAATTGCTATGCTGGCTTTCGTGGTCGTCGTCTTCGTCGTATGTGCTCATCGTGCTTTATTTAGCCAGATTCACAGAGAACAGCTGGCGTTTGTTGCTTCCCACACACGCAGATACATTTTCTTAAGGAAAGATTTTCCGGTTGATAAACAAAAGACAAAAAGTCTGATTTTCTTTTGGTTTCCTCTGTTTCATTTTTTCTTAGGTGAAGACCACGCGGATAACCCATAACTATAGCAAGTCCGGCAATAATAGCTCAAGTACCTCAAGTACCAAGGTCAGCAGCTCCTCGGCACCAGTTACACGCACAACTTGTGACATTGAGGAGATTTGGGACGAACAGGTCCTAAAGCAATTGGTAAGTAATATACCATAATTAGTAGGAGTACTCTTTCGCACATCAAAAGACACGAAAATCAAACACAAATCAATCAATCATCATAGCTGGAACAGGCGTCCACCTACGAGGAGCGTCGCAAGATCCGTGCACGTCTACGCGAACTTATGGCGGAACGCGAAGGTGAGTCCACAGTCCACTTTCTCAATCTCTCTAACCACAATATATTATAGTAAATATATATTATAAATCCCAAAATATATATCCCAGCGGTTAAAGTTACTACAGCGACCCAAGACAACTCTCGAGGATCTCTCTCAATATCTTGTGTTCTGTATCTGTTTATCTTGTAGATAAAGCGCACAGCAACTAGGCACAGCTAGGCAGGCAAAGACTGGGTCAGATATAGGATCAAGAAAATTAAAGCGTTTTAGTTGCCAAGGTATATCAAAAGCGTTTTCATGTCCCCCTTTGATCCAGTTACAGTTCCAATTCCAGTTTTGTCGCGTTCCACACACATAAATCGTTATTGTCCTATCGTTTTAGAGCTAGTATATCGATAAACAAGTTCGATATAATGTAATAAAAAATATGTTGCACTTAATATTATATCGAAATTATTGTATAATTTGATATATTTAATTTACTTATCATTTGAAAATGAAGATTATCGAATGCGTCTGTTGTTCCAATTATATTGCTTCGATATATGAAACAGAATATCGAATTATTGCATAAAATATCGAAATGCATATTCACTATCACGTCAAATATCTGCACAGTATCGATATATTCTGCTATCCTTTTTCCATCTTTCGATGTATTACTATAGTTCAAGTGCTATCGTTCTAGTTCTATCATTATCCTTTCCTTGTTTACCTTCAAATTGTTGTACTGTCCTTGAATAGTGTTTCAAAAACGTTTTCGAATGATGGCTTCCTCACTGTTTCACGTCGAAGACCCACTTAGAATTGGAATCGATACATTAAATAGCGATATACCATTTCTCTGATATCGTTTGTTTAGTTTCCTATCGATATTATCCCCATACCTCTTGCAGAGAGGTTCAAAAATCGATTTCAGACCTTACAGATCCCTATTTATTCTTTTGTCTTGCTTGTTTTGCCAGTTTCTCTCTCTCCATGTCTTTATCCATCTATCCTTTTATCTCTAAACTCTCTCTATCTCTCTCTGAACTAATATTAAAACAAAAAAGATAAAAAGAACTCGAAGCAGCAGGAGGAGAAGGAGGAGGAGGAGAGCAGCGCCAGCGAGTATGAGGAGATCATCGAGGAGGTGACCGATTACAGCGACGAGGAGGAGGAAGAGCAAGAGCAACCAACCAAAAAGGAGGAGCCCAAAAAGGAGGTGGCCAAGAAAGTGGTGAGCCCAAAGGAGGTGACCACCAAAAAAGAGGTTACCCAAAAGGCGGAGAAAAAGGAAACTGCCACCGCCACCTCCAGCAAGTCCACCAAAGTCGTCGAGAGTGTTGGCAAAAAATTGGCCAAAGTTGAGCTGGCCAGTAGCTCCGCCTCCACCACCACCTCAAGCACCACCACAGACGGTGTTGTCCAGGTCCAGGGTGAGTCCCTGCCTGCAGCATCCAACAAGTCAGGACCAGCAACAGCAGCAACGAGCAGCAGTAGCTTAGGTAGTAGGAAACACAGTAGTCTTAGCAGTAGCCAGGTTAGCACAGTGGTTAGGGCCAGGGACAAAGCCAACACAGAGACAATGCCAGTCACGGGTTCATCATCACCATCACCATCATCACCCTCCGCTCCGGGAACAGCGACAACGGGAGCAGCCCGGTTGAGTGTGCCCTCGAAAGAGGATTCCGGCACGGAAAGCGGTGAGGATTTACGCCTTCTAGCCGCTGGATTGCGTGACACCCTGCAACAGCGGAGCAGCGGTAGTGATGCCAGTGAAGCCAATCGCAGCCTGGTCGAGGAAGTGACCGATGCCCTGAGCCGCCTGGAGAGCAGCCTGAAGCAGGGCAAAGAGCTGGCCGTTGATGGGGGCCAGCGTCAGGCATTGCTCGGCCTGGTGGCTCGCCTTCAGAGTGGACTCAGTGCGCCCGAGAAGTTGGCCGATGAGAAGACCACATCGCAGACCGAGGAAATCGATCCAACGGCGGGTAGTCCAGAGCCGGGAGAATCATCCGATTGCCGGCAATCACGTTTTGCCAAGCGACGTCAACGCAATAGTCGCCACACCGTGGGCGTGAGCAGAGAGGAACTGGCCGATGCCAGGCGTTATATGGAGGATATGCTGATGTTGGAGAGCAAGGAGTTTGCCCTGGCCAAGACCCCCAGTTCGGGAGCGGTGGTGCCAGTGCAACTCTATAGGCCCAATCAATTTGTGGCAGCCCAACAGCAGCAGCAACAGCAACAGCAGCAGCAACAGCAACAGCAGCAGCAGCAGCAGCCAGAAACCCCCAAAGTTATTCCAGCTGTAAATCCCCAACAGAGTCCATCACAGCTCAGGCCAAATCCCACCAATAGGCGACCCCTGTCCGGGGACTATGCCGTGAGCTTTGCCAACTATGAGGCAGCACAAAGTTCGCAAAACTCGAGTCCCGAAGGAGCTGGAACATCACCCAACTCGAACTCGCAATCCAACTCGAATTCTAGCTCCAATTCCAGTCGTTTTGGCGGCGGCAAGAGGCACATGATGAAGCGAGCCAATACGATTGATATACCCAAGGCTAAAGCCAAATATATGGCGGATTGTGACTCGGACTCGGATCTCGAGGATGATCAGGGACCCCATTTGGGCCTAAAGCGAGCCGTCCAGGTAAGCGTCAAGCGACGCGTTCACAACGCTGTTCCACCCTTTGAGCCCAAAACGGAGAACGATCACAAGTTTCTGGCCTTTATCAACAAGCAGAGTCATCAGACTGGCCTAGGTTGGGGCGGCAGTGGCGGCCGTAGTGTATCCAATTGGACACACAAGTTTGGTAACATTAAGCACACCTTTGAGACTGGGGCGGCGGCAACGGTGACCAAGGGTAAGCCACCGCCAGTGCCGGGTCATGTGCCCGGTTGGGCCAAGCAGGAGCAGATGCATCATCAGCAATTGCAGCGAGAGCAGATGCAGCGTGAGCAAATGCAACGTGAGCAGTATCAACGAGAGCAGAGGCAGCGGGAGCAGCGAGAGCAGAACCAAAGAGAGCTCTCCAAGCGTGAGCAATTCCAGCGAGAGCAACTGCAGCGAGAGCAACTCCAGCGCGAGCAGTTGCACCGAGAAAAGTTGCAGCGAGAACAACTGCAGCGAGAGCAACTCCAGCGTGAACAACTCCAACGCGAGCAGCTGCAACGTGAGCAACTCCAGCGAGATCAGCTTCAACGTGAACAACTCCAGCGAGATCAGTTGCAACTGCAGCAGCAGCAACAGGCCGCTGCAGCGGTACAAATCGAACGGCAACGTCGCCAGGAACTGGAACGTCAGCTACGAATCGAACAGGAGGCACGCTACGAGCGCGAGGAACGCACTCGCCTGGAGCGTGAATACTACGAGCAGCAGTTGCAACGTCAGCAGCAGGAGCAGCAGCAACAACTGGACCGTCAGCGGCAACAACAGGAGCAACTCGAACGCCAGCGTCGGCAGGAGATGGAGCTGCGATTGCAACAACAACGTGAACAGGCCTCGCAAGTCAATAACTTTATACACGCTCCACAGTCCGTCTTCCGACCGATTGAGCATGAGACGCCGGGACAGCCGGGCATATACAAACCCATTGCCCAGAAATCTCAACCGAATCCGGCTATATGGAAACCACCAACGCAACTGCAGCAGCAGCAACAACAGTTGCAAGCACCACAATCGCAGCAACATTTGCAGGCCAGATCTGCTGGAACTTCCTATAGCAATACACCATCGCCCTCATCCACGGCGGCCACTTCACCCATTGGCCTGCCCTGGGTGGCCAAGCCCAAGGTGGACAATAGCGATTTTCGCCGTAAGGCACATCACTTTGAAGAGCGTTCCCTGAGGGATAACCTAGAGCAACAGCAGCAGCAGCAACAACAGGGACCCTCATATCCCAATGGCAACAATCATGGCTATTTGCAGCGACACAATTCCCTGCGTTCCAAGGCTGCACCACCTTCATTGAGTGAGTTCAAGAAGCGACCATCTCTGCCGAATGCCATGGATCCCGGGGTGGCACCATCCCATCCACCACATCATCAGGCATATCAGGCACCACCGCCACCCACGAATATCTCCTTTACGTATGCCGATTTTCCACCAGTGAGACGACATGGGGGAGCCAGTGCCCATAATTATCGCAGTCAACCGTGTCTATCGAGTGCCGTGGAACAGGCCGAGGCACTGACCAATCCCCTGGCAGCTCCACTGGTCTTAACCAGTTCCAATCCAACCTATCTGCCGCCACCGAGAAGATTTGATTATATTAGCAGTCCCGTGGATGTAGATGCCGAGAGTCCGCCAAATAGTCCCACCAGCTTTATGACCATGCCCAATCCCGCTCTGATGACGGACAATACGGACGATGATCTCGATTTGGATTCGGATAACAATATGCTGGAATATCGTGCCGAAACCAAGGTGATGAGGAAACCACGTAGCCAGACAGCTGTCCGAGTGGCGGATCGTAGGAATGCCCATATGAGTGATGATGAGGTTTATGGCCGAAACTCGAGGGCAGCCAAGTCGTTGCTGTACACCATGAAGCAGTTGGGACCGGGAGCTCCAGCTCCAGTAAGCGGAGGGGGAAATGGTTCCAATCATCATCATCATCATCATCACAAGAGGCAACCTTTGACGGCTCCAAGTTCACCAAAATCTGGTTGCTTGTCACCCGATGGACGTCAGTATCAGGCACCACTTGTAGAACCACTTTTTCCCCAATTGAGCACCTTTGAGGCCAAGCGACAGCCACAATTTTCATCAAATACGCCACCAACAGGACCACCAATGAATTATCAGGCTAATCCTACCTATACACCGCCCAGAACTCAAACTCAGAGTCAGGTTCAGGATAATTCTAGCTCTTATTTGGGTGAGACGCATACCTCGTATGTGGTGACCTATCCTGTAGAGGATTCAGGTGATGAACCCGAACCTGAGTCGCTAGCCATGTCTTTGAGTCAAAAGCAGCGTTTGCGTCGCACTTCAGAGCACTCGAATGCCAGCTCTTCGATATCCCTGGGCAGCACCAGCTGGACAGCAAATCCTGTGCATAATACGGTTCCAGGAACGGGTACTGGTTTCGCTCCAGGATCACCATCTATTCCGGCCACTGGATCATCAATGCCGGGATCCATGCCCATCTCGGTGCCTCCATTGTCCACAGGACCACCAGTGGATCGTAGCACAAAGCCACAGTTAAGTCAACCAGCGGGCAAGAAGATGGGAAATCAAGTGCCTCAACAGGTGACTCATCCAGCCCAACAGGTGCCTCAACAGGTGCCTCATCAGGTGCCTCAACAGTTGCCTCAACAGCAACAGCAATTGCCTCATGGAATGTCTCACCAGAAACCACATGAAATACCTCACTTACCACAGCAAGTGCCTCAAGGAATGTCTCACCAAAGACCTCACCAATCAGCACAGCAAATGCCCCAACAGAATCCGAATACCAAACCCAATCAGACACCCTTAAGCACCACCAACAACAATAGACCCAAGCTAAGCACTCGGAGCCATACCATCCAAGGTGATACCAGCTATGAGAATCGTCCCCTCCAGAATCGTATAATGTCACAGCAAACTCTAATTACCACCCAAAAGTTGCAACAAAAGGAGCAACATCAGCAGCAGCAACATCAGCAAATCAGTGAGTTGCGTCGCAAGAGTTTGGGCAATGTCCTGGAGAGTAGCCAGCGTAGTGCCACTTACTTTGAGCAAGAGTACAAGTCCTCGGCGCCTTCAGATACACCTGACATAGTGAAATCCTCGCTGCCCAAGGAAGATGCACCGCTTCTTAAGAAATTTGGACCACCGCAGCGTCATCATTATGTGCCCAATGCGTATCAGAGTCCGCAGTTAAATAAGCCAAGTGGCAGCACCACCAGCACCACCAGCACCAGTAGCACCACCATAACCACCAGCAGCAACACCACCATGGTGCAACAGCAACAGATCAAGCCCAGTATAGTGGAAACTCCAGCAACGCCACAACCACAAGTGCCACCCGAGGATGAGATACCCCATAATATTGTTTTCAACAATGTAAGCGCCTTTACCTCCCTGAGTAGAAGGAATCTCAACGAGGAGGATCACCATCAACAGCAGCAGGGATCCCGAGTTAATCGATTAAGTAAATGTGATTCATGGAATCAAATCTGTCAACTGCAAAGCAATCCCAGTCCCAGTGTCAAATACAATCAACCCAATGCCAGTGCTAGCTCATCCCCCGGTGAGTTAAGACGTACCAAATCTGGACATTCATTGGCCGTACCCAAGCTATATGAGGCGGGTATTGATAAATCCCAAGTTAGCGAAAAGCAACGCACTGTGGCCGCATATTTCTCGGGACAAAAGTCACCCAATCAAATGGAGGAGCTGCGTTCCACCACCACCACCGCAATAACGAGTAGAAAATCAGCGATTAATCGTACCAAAACCAGCGAGAAACTATCGGCAGCAGCACGGAAATCGTTGAGTTCCCTAACAACCACCTCCAATGGCAACATGTCCACAGTGGGATTGATCAATCAGCAGCAGCATCAGCATCAATCCTCGATGATCATGGGTGGTGGCCTGAGTCGGAGTGCCACAATGCCGCATATTGCCAATCTGAATCTGCTGGACGAGAGCAATGTGGAGGATGCCTTCGAGCAGCTAATGATGGGTGCATAAATAATCTCCTGCCTAAATCCAAGTCCAGCCAATCAATCAAGTCATGTCCAAGTCAAGTCAAATCAAAAAACCCGTCAAGAATTTTAATCAAAAGAGGCATTCCAGTTCCAAATATCAAAACTGGATGTAAAAAACCAAGAGAAAATCATGAAAACTAAAGATAAAACAATCGAAAAACGATATCGAAAAGGGTTTGATAAACGATAAATTTAACTGCAAAATGGCAAAAAACTGTACTGATTAATGTTTACTGATGTTAAAGAGAAAAGGGAAAAGAAAAAAGATAAATACTGTTGAGCTTAGAATTAACTTTGTTTTTTTTTTTGATATATTTTTTTTTTTGTTTAGAAAAGAGCCTTTTTTGAAAAAGCAGTTAGAAAAAGCAGTTAGAAAAAGCAGTTTGAAAAAGCAGAAAAGATCTAATTAAAAGCAGAAATAAAGCACAAAACTATACATAAAATAAAGGAGGGACCTGGCGGTTTCTATTTGTCTTTTTTTTTCTTTAACTAAATAAAAGAAAATATTAATGTTTGCTGCTCGGCGTCCCAACTGAAATATAAAATAATAACAACAAACAACAACAAGCAACAAACAAACAACAAAATGCAAGAAAGAACAACAATAATTAAGCAACAAAACAGCAACAGCAACTTGATCAATAATTCAAAAGATTTGTGAGTTGAATTGATAAACAAATATATATTTATATGAGAACTGTACAGAGAATGCCAGCCGCCCCAATTTTTCTTTAATTTTTTATAATTTTTTTGCCAGCGCCCCCCTTTGCTATGCCTTTAAAATAAAACCTAAATAAATACAATTAAAAAATATATTGCCATATCGCCCAGCAGCAGCATCCTAACAGCATAAAAAAAGAAACAGAACACACACATACATACAAGTAAAAATATTTAAATAATAATATAAAAAACACACAGTTGAAATTACAATTTTAGATATTTTTTAAATTAAACAAAACAATTTTATAAAAAGGAAAAATAAAAAGGATATTTAGGAACCCAAAGAATTAACTTAACTTGCCAACTTTAGATATCAAATATATGAATTAGTTTATTGTTTAATAATAAAAATAAATAAACAAATATAGAGATTTTTAATATATAGAAAAGTTTCTGGTATAGATATGTTTTTATATTCAATTTAAATATTTTAAATATTAAAATTGCAGATGCTTTAAACTTTATTTATTAACCAACTTAGAAAGTCTTAAAAATGAACAAAAACGTAATTTCCCTTTCAAGTATTTTCTATGCAACACTTTTTTTTAAAGAAGATCTAATATTTATTAAGATTTTATTATTTATTATGAAGTTTAATAATTTCTTATCATTTATTTAGTAAAGCAAAACTATTTCTTAAAACAAATTTGAAAAGAGAAACTTTCCTCAACATTAAATACATAATATAAAAATATAAACTATAAAATATATGATAAAAAGAAAAGATTTATTTAAATATATTTCTTTTAAGTTATTTAACTAATTAAATCAAATATAATAAGCACATTTAAAGAAAAAACAAGCTTTTAGATACATAGATATCAACCCAAATAATAATAATAAAACATATTGCCTTGATTTCAATAAGTAAAAGTATATAGATTTCTCTTTAAAAAATATAGATATATTTTTATATATTTCTATAGCTGTGTGTTTAGTACATGTGTGTGTGTGTGTGTTTGTTTTTTTTTTTCTTCTTGTATAAATTTGTTATTGCCTAAAAGTTGTTTTCACTTCTCCCAAAAAAAAAAAAAAAACAAAAGAAAAAGTGTGAAGATTAGCGCTTAATTTTTTCCCCATTTTGACCCCTTCTCCCCTGTTACGTTCTGTTACGTCCAGTTACGTTTTTTTGTTACGTTTTTGCTCTTTTTCTCGTTCGTTCGTTGGTTCGTTCGTTAGTTGATTGATTGATTGATTGATTGATTGATTGATTGATTTATTGACTGGTTGATTGGTTGGTTGGTCAAGCAAGGAAACAAAAAATATTACTTAAAACAAAAATATAATAACAAAAAAAGGAAGAAAACGGAATCAGCAAAGAGAAACCCCAAATGTTGTCCCTCCTTTCATTTTATTTCTCTGTTTTTCTCTCTCTCACTGTTTTTTCCCCCTTCTTGTAAATACACTGTAATATATATATATATAGTTTATATATATTTACATAACACCGCCCACAGATGAGATGAGGAAACAGTTTTTTTCTGTTTTTTGACTAGTTTTTTGGTTTTTTTCCGTGTCTATATATCTTTTTTTTTAATATCGACATCGCTCTCTGTTTGCTGCTGATCTGCTCCTGTTCCCCGTCCCCTTTGAATTTAAAGCATGTTTTTTTCTGTTAGTTTTTATTGTAAATATCTACCAAGTTGTATATAAATATTTGTGCATGACTATTTTATACCCTGCATTTACATTACATTACCTATTTTATGACACAGAAAAGAAGTATGTTTAAAAGTACTTGAAAAGAAATTGTAATTGTAATCATTAAGCAAGAAAATTAAATATTTTAAATCAAGCCAAACAAGACTAAAACATTTACAAGTATTATTTTAATTTAATTTTTTTTACTATTATCCCTTTAAATAATCGAGGTAAAATAATGGAAAAATGTAATATAAATTAAAGAGAGAGAATTAAACAATAAAATTAACAGTAAATTGAAAATAATTCAAAAGAAATAAAGTCAAGTTTAAAACGTAATTCACTTTAAGAGAGTGATTTTAAAAAATTAAAATATAAATTGCAATTTCAATTCCTACTTTCAAGTCTATTTTCTGTTTGCCTAGTTAAAAATACATAAAATAATTAAATTCCATAAAATGAGTCCATGAAAAAATCAAGAACTCCAATACCAATACCAATACACCAACACCAACACCAATGCCACCACCGTCACACCACAGTCATTGCCACACCAATAGCGGCGATTTTTCGATTGTTTTTTTGTGCGTAACCGTAGAGCGAGTCCTTTAGGCTTGAATAATGCCAATGCATTTCGTTTAATATTATATATACATTTTTTACTTTGTTATTTATGTAGCTGAAAAGGAAAACAAAATGAATTTTTTGTGCTGTGTTTTCCATTAGTTTGTAAATTTTTTTTAATTGTGCCTGCCCAGATACAAAACACAAAAAAAAAGAAAACAAAAAACAAAAACCCCTATTTGTTGATTGCCCAAAAATATTTATTAATTTTTTCGTAATTGTAATTGATTTTGTGCATGGCCCCAAATAACTAATCAATGTAATTTCTTTGCTTTTCTTTTTTCTTCCACCTGCTGCTACAAAAAAAAAATTAATAAACCAAAAAAAAAAACCGAAAAACGCATCCCTAAAAAACTCTATTCACACAGCAGCAGCTGCCCAGCAGAAAAGCTCCACCACCAGCGAACAGCGAACGGAAGCCAAGTCCAAGGATGGCGGTGCCACTGTGACCACAACAACCACAAAGGGTGAGTTTCTATCTATAATTTCCTATAAATTTCGTATTAATTTTAATCGCATTCAATTAATTAATATTTATTTTATTTAGTCACCACACGCACCGTTAGCGGCAACGCCGCCTCCAAGAACATCTCGCCCTTGGCCAAATTCAAGCAACTGGACAAGCAGGCGGCTGCCCAACAGGCCCAAAAGTAAGTCCAATTTTTCCCCCTCAGCCAACCTTTTTTTTTATTGTATTCAATTTGTATCGAAGAGCATCCAGAAAATACTATATAAAACATACAACATATATATACCACATATGAATAAATAATTACATGGTTTACACACACTCAGAAAAAGTTCATAACACAATCGACAACATTTTGTGCAGGTCAACCTTTTGGGATTGGAGAGGCAACAATAAAAATGAATAATAAATATAGAAAACATTTTTCGGAAATGACTCCTTCGCAAAGTTTTAAGCTTCTGGCTAAAATTATAATACCATTTTTTGAGCCAATATTTATCTCTATTTTTATATGGCAATTTTATCGACAAATTAAGGTTTAAAAAACTCATAACTAAGCCAAAAATTCATTAATTTTAGTTTGGAAAGCTTTCCTGTGTTAGTTTTTATTAGGTTGATAAATCTGCATACTCAATTTAATATTTTATTACATTCGAATTTTTATCAATTTTTCATAATTCAATTTTCTTAATTTTAACCCTTATAAAAATGTGAAATTTAAAAAAAATTAAATTGTTGTCGAACATGGCTAGATCGACTCAGCTTTTTATGCTGATCAAGAATATATATGGTTTATAGGGTCGGAAATGACTCCTTCCATATTTTTTAAGCTTCTGAATAAAGTTTAAATATCCTTCAAGGGTATAAAATAATTAAAAACAGGAAAGAGCTTAATAAATAAAATAAAATAAATCAAGGTTTTTTTGTACTTATATTTTTTTATTTTTTTTTAATATTACCAACTTATGATTGTATAAAACTGCTGGCTCAATTATTGTATGCATAACTTTTATTTTAAATTCAAACAGGAAACTATAAAAGGGGTTTAAAAATCAAGTTTTTCTTACATTTGTCTTATTTATTACAAACGTTATTTTTAAATTTTTTTTAAATAAATTTAATAAATAGTAAATTAAATAATTATTTATTAAATACAAATTATAAGCCTGAGAACGTTTCCAAATCCAAAAGTGTTGCCTACATAATGGGGCATATGTACATTTTATGGTTGTCTCTCCACACTCACACACTCCCACACACACACACACATACATAAGCAATTCAATTGGTTATCGGTGCATCTAGCACACAGACACACAATATATATATATATAATTATAAAATACTTGCACAATCTTCACCTTCACTCCTCCTTTTTAACCCACACACACACACATCGATCCTCTGGTGTTGGTTCTCTATGGAAGTGTGTTTGTAGTCGTCTCCCAAAAAAAAATAAATAAAATATCTGATTAATCAATAGATAGTTATGATCGATATGTGATATGTAAAATATTTCGATTCGAGATAGGATAGCCATTTAGTCGAAGTAAACATTCGATAAATGGAGAACTGATGAATATTGATGCAGCTACAACTGTTGTTTAAATGTCGATAAATTGATGATCGATAAACATCGATAATGGATCGATACCAGAGGGGAAAAGAGTGTTTGTACATAGTCTATCCACCTGTCTGTTGTCTCGCTCTTTTGTTTTTATTTCTAGCTAGCCTCTGGAAACTGTCCCTCCCCCTTTTCTCTCCTCTACTCTCTTTCACTCTCTTACTTTTTCTTTGTCTTTCTTTGTGTTTTTCTTCGTTTTTAATTATATTTTTTTTTTTACAACAACCAAAGACAAGAACGAAAAAACTAGAACATTTCTTTGACAGAAAAATACAAATACTTGTTGTTTTTGTTCCTTTGCTAACACAAAACCATAAAAATATAGATTATTTATATTTATAAATATTTAAACATTTAAACACACACACACCCACGACCACAAATAATAATTAAAACAAAAACTTAAGAAGACACAAAGAAATAAAGAACAAATTTATGAAGAAGCTAAAGTTTATGAAGCCGATTAATAATTGATATTGTGTGAGTTATTCGCTAAAACGTCTGCAACCCTCCAACCTTGAATCATTTCGTTCAGATCATCTCCAACAACAAGCACACCCACGACCCCCGGCGGTTCGGCACAACCGTATTTCAAATTTACCGATCCGGCATTAAATGCGCGCGCCGCCACTGTCAAGGATCAACTTCTGCAGTGGTGTCAGCATAAAACGCAGGAATATGAGGTATCCAAAACCTAAACAAAAAACAAAAACAAAATACCCATGACCAATAGCCCTTAAAAATTAATTGCAAAATGCCGCAAGCCTTAGTTACTGTTTGTGTTAATTAATTACTTTACAATTTACAAATCAAAATAAGGCAAAGCGCTTAAGAGACAAATAAATCGGTTAACTATATCGATATTTGATCGATAAATTCGATATTTTTCAATTTTATAAAGTTTACAATAATTTTCACAAGGTATTACATTTCCAGACGTTTTCCTTTTATATAATATAATTAACTATATATATAATATTATTAACTATATATATATAAAATTAACTATATCGATATTTGATTGCTAAATTCGATATTTTTCATTTTTAAAATGTTTACAATAATTTCCATAAGGTATTAAACTTTCGAACGTTTTCCTTTTATATAATTTCATTATTTAAATTCAATTAAATTGCTTAAAAAGTTACATTATCTTTCTTAAATAAATTTAACTTATTATCTCTCAGTTAGAAGCTTAAAACGTTAATAATAAAACAACAAAATACTTCTTGAACTCAAAGCCTTTGCCATTATTTTGAATGTAACTGTAGAAAAAAAATAAAACAAACAAACAATCCCTGAAAAATCAAGATAATTATAATTTTATTTCTTATTAGTTGCCGTTTGCCCCGCTGTTATTTTTTTTTTTCAGTGTCGTCAAATATTTTTTATAGCATTTTTTAACAAATAAAATCTAACGAGAAAACAAAACAAAACAAAAATCCAAAACAAACAATCAACAAGCAAAAACTTCTAACAGCGCTTAACTTTGGCTTGAAAGCTTACTCAAAAACTCATACAAATACACACAAAGAAAAACACTCAAATACACTCAAACACACACACTCACACACTTAAATACAACACGCACGAATCGACAGATTTAGAACCATTTCCGTTTCCGCTTTCGCTTGCCGCGCTTTGCCAGAACTTCAGTAAACGCAGCAGTTTGAGTAAGAGATGGTAGAAAATATACATATATCTATAAAGTATCCATTTTTTACGATTTAATATCGATAGCGATACTTTTTGTATCGATTTTTCTCGATATATATATGTACATTCCCATTCGAAATCCCTGCAGCGTTTACAAAGTACAGCTTTTATCGCTTATCGCTAGAGTTACGACCGCTGTTGTTGTTGTTGTTAATGCTATTTAGACCTTTTTAGCTTTGCATTATTTTAAGTTGTAGTTCTGCTTTTGCTCTCTCAAGGGACCATCAAACGAGACCCCCATAAAATCAGCCAAAAAAAATAATGAAAGACATCTTTCTCTCTTTAAAACGTCATTAAGTGATTTAAATATATATTAATATTATGTATATATCCTGTGTCCACAGAACGTCCAAATAAGCAACTTTAGCTCGAGCTGGTCAGACGGCCTGGCCTTTTGTGCGCTGATACACCATTTCTTGCCAGATGCATTTGATTATACAAAACTAACCAAACAAACGCGCCGACACAACTTTGAGCTGGCCTTCAGCGTTGCTGAGTAAGTATAAAAAAAAACCAAATAAAAACGCAAAGTAAATTTACCCAAAAACTTAATCAACAAAAACCAAAAAATAGTTGCTGTTAAAAGCATTGAAAGCACATTTTAAAATAAAAGAAACTATTTAAAATTTAATTTTATTTAAAATGAATATATATATATATATATTACAAATTGTCCGAATCAGTTAATAGACAAGAAAGTTATTAGAAAATCTAGTTTCTGTGTTTCCGCAACATTTACATTTGTGGTTCCAGCTTCAAAGGATGTTGCTCAACATGCTCCTAGCAACACTTGTCTTCTTGGCTGTTGCGCAACATGTTTCTAGCCACATTTCTCTTAATTTGGCAACATTTTCTGCTACAGTTTGCACTGTTTGATTTAATTTTTTGAACTAGTTTTTATATATATCCTATTTCTTTATGATTATATATACTATATAATACTTTCCCTTTGTTTTGCAGTGAGAAGGCTGGCATAGCACCCTTGCTGGACGTGGAGGACATGGTGGAGATGAGTCGCCCCGACTGGAAATGCGTGTTTGTCTACGTGCAGAGCATATATCGTCGTTTCCGCAACTGCCAGTAATAGCTGGCCATATATATATATATGCATATATATATAATAAATCCCATCAAGCTAAAGTCCAAGTCAACTCAACAGCAGCAAAGCAGTAACTAAATAAATTTTAAGCATATCTCTCAAACAAACTCCCCCTTTGGCATTTCGTGTTGGAACGCACAATAACCCGTAATCTCCAGATATATCTATATATATATAATTATCAAAAGTCAAGATCCTGCAAATATCTAACTGTATATTCCTCTTCAGCGCAAGGCTCGTCGAAAATATGGATCAGCCGACTCATATAACACTTTGTACGTTTTTTGTGTTATGTTTTACCTTTTTTTGACCATTATTATTATTATTACGATTTACGCATTATTATCTTTTTGTTATCGAACTTGAAGCAGAAACGTATGCATTAATTGTTATCATTATATATTATTATTATTATTATTATTTTTTTGTCATAATTTTAATTTTGTGGAGAAAAGATGAAAAAGAAGCAGTGCTGTTACTAACCCTGCTGACGGTCATCGTTAAATGGGATATATGAATAATGGATGATAATCCTCAGATTTCTATATGTCCCGGTGCCGTCGCTTACATTGATGAATTACTGTAATAATAAACATATATTCTATGTACGTACATGTAACGAGAACGAAACAATTACTAACCGATGGCACTATTGAAAAGGCCGCAAAAAGAAATCAAGTAAAAAACAAAAACAAAACAAGCAAATTAAAACCCAAGGTTTTTTTTATTTTCAAAAATTGGGTGGATTTTTATACCCTTTATTTTCAGTCAGAAGCTTAAAACGCATTGAAAGAGTCATTTCCGACCCTATAAATCATATATATTCTTGATCAGCATCAACAGCCGAATCGATCTAGCCATGTCCGGTGAAAAAATAAATTTTCGAAATTTTTTCAAAATTTTATATCGTTAAAAATGTCAGCAAAAATTTGACAAAAAATGAAATGTTTTAAATTTTAAAACTTGATACGCAGATTTGTTAAACCCTTAGAAACTAGCACAAAACAGTTTTCCAAATTAAAATGAATTTATTTTTGGCCGAGTTATGATATTTGAAAAACTTTGATTTATCCCAAAAAACACACATCCTGGAAATAACTTTCAATCTTGTTTATAGTAAAATGAAAAAAACTATAAAATATATCTCCATAAATCTATAAATCTCGACTCAATGTGCAGCAGGCGGTGCCTGGTGACGTTTCAGAAAATCGGTGAAAGTCTAACGTTGTGCTTTTATGTAATAAAAAAAAATGTCGCAGGAAAATTCGGTGTAGAAATTCGTAGTTGAAAATTATTTTCTTCGTCACGCACACGCACGCACACACGCCACTGGGCAAAACCGTGGTCAGCAGCAGCATCCCTGTCATCCTTGGCCTCCACACAGCATCCCCGCAGCAAACATGTCGCAATTGCAACCGGAACCGGAAGTCCAGCCCCGCCAGCAGCAACAACAGGATGCTCTTTCACAAGGCTCGGCCCTGCGCATACTCAACGATGTGATCTCCGACGTCAGCTGTGCGCCAGAAACGGGAGCAGGCACATCAGGATTGGGTCCCGGATCCGGGCTCAGCGCCTCAAGGACCGCCATGGACAGAATGCTACCACCGATCACCAGACACTTGTCACAGGAGACCATCCATTCGGCCAACGAGAATGGCAACTCGTGCCGCATTTGCCGATGGAATCGCAGCGATATGGAGATCATCAAGTGTCCCTGCACTTGCAAGGGCAGCGTGGTAAGTGACGTTCGTCGGCGCCCCCTGTTTTTTGTGACCCAGCTCTAGTTGATTTTTCTTTTTTTGCAGGGTTTCATCCACATGAAGTGCCTTAAACGCTGGATTATGCACAAGCAGAGTAATCGCTGTGAGATCTGCCATGCGGTCTTCGACATCTCGGAGGATCGGGCCAGCCTGAAACAGATGGTGAAAACCTTTTGCTGCCATCGCTGCTGTGGCCTGATCGTGAAGCATCTGTTGTTCAGTGCGTCCCTGATGCCGCTGGCCAACATTATCCTGCAGCAGGTGGGTTCAGGACACAGGAAAGATTCTATATATTGTATGAATATTAATTAATTTTCTTGTTCCTGCGCCAGGTGCTGCACTGCATGGATAATCTAAATCAGGGCAATGCCGAGCAGCTCACCGTCAGGGAGGTGATTGTCGCCTCCGGCACACTGCTTACCTCCAGCGTGCTGTTCTTCAACTTCTTCGAGTTCATCACCACGCGCGGCCTTCTCATCCGGAATATCCTGCGCCACTGGTGGATGTTCGGCAGCACCTCCGATTTTGCCCTGGTGGAGGCCGAGGATGATGCCATCGATCTTTTCTAAACCAAAGCCAAGAAATACACTTAGCCTTACCGATTCTAAATCTGCCACCGCTCGACTACTCAATAAAGTTTCAAATTTTGTCTATCATCGAGCCAAGTCAAACATTTTTAAATTCGATAAATCGATAAATGCATTTGTATTGTGTGCATTGACTCGCAATAATTATTAGTATATATTTTCGATGCCTATGCGGTATTATTTATCGTTATCGCCGCGGCCACACTAAAATTCCAAACTACTATCGCTGTAGTAGTAAATCAATCGATAGTGACACGGCTAGAGCCAAGCTCTATCGCCTGGTTGAGCTGTCAAAAAATCGATATTTCCCACTATCGATTAAAGTATGAACGTTCTTTTCATCCGACAGTCAACGAGAGAGAATTCTGTTAATATACATTCACCCGACAGCCAACGAGAGAGAATTCTGTTAATTTACAGTCATTCTCTGTCGATGAGGGCATTTTACTTCCTACATGAGAATTCTACGCCATCGGCGAAAATTCTTCCCCATGTATCTTGTTTTCTACACTTTTAAGATGTAAAATGTTAAATAATACTAGTTGTATAAAATATCGATAGCGCAAAATATCAATGCTTTGAAAACAATATCCAAACATCGGTGTATCGATAGTGCTCCGATGTTTTGCCAATCGCTTCTTGCGGAAAGAGAATGAGCAACTAAACGAGGTCCAAGTGTTTCGAATTATTAATAACCATAACTTAGACCGCAATTCGTTTAGTGAATGTGCTAAAAACACGTCGCATGTTCTACTCTCAACACTCGAGGAGAAAGAAACACCAGAGACGAAGAGTGAAGACGGAAAAAGAAGAAAATAGTTAACTGTGGCCACCAAAGCGCAGTCGACGTCGACGTCGCGCTGCTGGCGTTGTTTATTTGTTGTGGCTGTTTTTGCGTCTTTTTCAAGGCAAAAAGAAAAACAATAAGCAGAACGCCAATCTGCAATTAAAGCTAAATCTAAACACGCGTAACAACGGTAGCATTCGTAAAGCTGCATTCGCAGCCGCAACAGCAGCATCATCATCAGCAGCAGAGCACGAGCAGCAGCAGCAGCAGCAAACAACAACAACAACTACAACTACAAAGAGCTGTTAACATCGACGTCGGCCGAGCTCTGACAGCGAGCAAAGAAAGGAAAACCGAAAACCAGAGAAGGCGAAGAACGCCTCAAAAGAAAGTGAAGTGAAGTGAAGTAAAGTGCGAAACACACCATACTGACACACGCACACAAACAAACGAAAGCAGAAACTCGACTTTTCAGGCCTAGTAAAGTAGCGTAGCTCTGCCGCTACGATTGCAACGGTATTTGTATTTTTTTTTGTCAGTTGAAATTTGTTTTATTTTATTTTAATTTTTTTTTTTCGTTTCGTTTCTCGCCTTGTTCACGCGGCACGTGTGCGAATATTTTGTACACTTTCGGTGTTTTTTTTTTTTTGTTCGTTTCGTCTGCACAAAACAAAGTGAATACTTGTTGCGGAGTGCCACGCCCTCCCCTCTACTCTCAGTCGCCCGCGATCCATAGCAGCGGCTGAGCGCCAGAGCCTGCGTCCGCGCCCGTTTCCCGTTCCCGTGCAAGCGCCAGAGTGAGAGGTAAAACACACGCAAGACACAACAGAGATGGCTAACCAGCAGCTTCTCGCTTTGATGGCCTCTGCCGTCGGTGGCGGCCAGAACAACACGCCGCGTGCCTTGTACGATCTATCGCTTCAGGCCCTTATTGGCAGCATGGACACCAAGGTGCCGGCCCTGGACAGGATCAGTCGTTTGCCGGAGTTGCCGCGCAACCTGCTCATCGATGCCTACGAAATGGTGAGTCTGCCTTGTGTGTATGTGTGTCTGTGTGCGAATATGCATGCGTGCACAGACACGCACGATCATTTGCCAATTTCTGGAATTGAAAAGAGATAAAAGAGCTGGAAGATGGCCAGTTCATTAGAAAAAGAGAATTGTGAAATTGATAAAATAGTAAATAAGTAAAATTAAAAAGATATATAAAGCATAAGCTGCTTTTCAACAAGTTAAAATCTTGCTATTACCACGTTTATTTCCGTATAAATATCAAGGTTATAGGCTTCAATCCAGTGTATACTATTTTTATTTATTTATTTTTGAGTTTAAATTCCAATTCTGATATCAAATTTCTACGTAACGCAGCTTTTCCATCACCGATCATAACATATACCGATTACTTATCGCAAAACTCCTCCTCCTCCTTCTCCTCCTGCCCTCCCCCTTTGGTGTATATGTTTATAGATATTTCGCCACTGGCAATTACCATTTTCTCATACATATTTCTTTTCATTATCAGGGGGGTATAGTAAATTGTCTCTGTTTGTGTTTACTTTTCCGCTTAAGTTGTTTACATGCATGCTCCTCCTCAGCCTCCTCAGCTCATTAACCCTTGATGTGGGGATGTGGGTCCTTCAATGAGAAATTGTCCGATTAAATGTGAAGATAGATTAACACCTGCATAAATCGCATAAATCTGTTCTTTATAAAGCCCTGTATAGGAGTTAAGTGGACAAAAAATAATGAAAATATCCTGGAACTCAATGGAAACTTGCTAGAAAATCTACATTTATTCATATTTTCATTTGATTTTATTATTAAAGAGTTTATTTTCCAGAGCTCTCATAGCTTAAAGCTTAAAGAAACCTTGTATAAGAATATGTATCACTTCTAAGCAACTTAACTTGATAGTTTTGTAATTGTAATTGTTGAGTCGAAACAAAGAAAACTATATATAATATAATTTGATATTCCACTCCAGACTTTCTTGCTGGATTTTCTTATTCGGGGAAAACCACTTTCCCAGAGTCACAGGTGGTTGTCCAACTTGGCTTCCATATATGTATTTTCATATAATAAGCGTAGAACAGTGGTGTCAATTATTATAAACAAAAGCGGCGACAATGAGGGAGCGGGTCTAAAAATAGAAACTCAACCAGTCCATGCCAAGGGGAGGGACTTGAAAGCTAGAGAGAGAGAGAGAGAGAGAGAGGGGGAGAGGGGGAAAGAAGCTGGATCAGATCGGATCAGCGCCCTTTGATTGTCCTGTTCTCGCTCTTGGCATTGCTGACTGGCTCTGGACCTTGCCTGAGAAGAAGAGCCATTGAACTTGCTGATAATGGCTAAGCATATTCCATTGTTCGTTGATTTAATGTGTGCGTACGTTGGGTCTCTTGCTGCTCTGTAGAGATGACAACAAAATATATAAATATAGAGTTAAATTTATAAAAAATATCAAATTTTAAGATATTTTCTATATATTTTATATACTAACTTCCCAAATCCTCGCTTTCTGCCTTGATTTTCTTTTTAATAACAACTTTATTTAGTCTAGATTTTGTGTTTTCAAGCTGCCATCTTAAAATTCTAAGCTTAAATCCGATTTTGTATTCATAAATTAATAAATATTTCTTATTTATCTTTATCCCTGCCCCCCATACAGATGTCACAGCAGGAATCGTTGAAGGATACACTCCTGGAGGAGCTGTCCTGCCTGGATGTGTTCTTGCGTCTCGTTCGCTATGCCCCAGCCCGCAGCAAACTGTTGCGCATTGTTGCTTCATTGATGGCCAGCAATAAGCTGCTTGCCAGCCGCCTGGCCGAGGCCTTTGTCACCCGCTACAGTCTCCAGAGCGAACAGGAAGAAACGGATCAGGATCAGGAGCAACAGCAGCAGCAGCAGCAGCAGTGGCTTAGCCAGAACTTGAATCAGAAGCAGAATGAGGAGAGACAAAATTCACTGCAGGATTGCAGTATGCATATATATGATGGAGAGGATCATACTAACAACAGTGCCTGTGCAGCAAGTGGAAGGATTGCAGGCGATGAGGAAACCCAAAGCAAACATAATGTGATCGATCCCGCCGCTCCTGCCGATTCCGCCTTAGAGGAGCTGCCCGCCGAGGAGCTTCAGGCCATTGATCTGGGCCTGCGCCTTGGCTCCTTCCTATCAGAGGCAGGTTGGATGCAGGAGAGCATAACTGTATTGTCGTGCCTCAATGCCAGACTGAAGCACCTGCCGCGCCACAAACATTGGCTCGTTATGCGCCTGGACTGCCTGCAGCGGTAATTTAGGAAACAAAACTCTTTGAAACAACTCTTTTATTTATTTTGTATTCTTTCTCTCGATAGCCTTCTGTATGCCGAATCGGCGCACTGCAATTTTAAGCTGGCGAAACGCACCTATGACGAGCTGATCTTACTAAATCCCCTGTTAAATAGCAAGGTGCCGCAAGAGCTGATTGCCATGACCTATAGCCAGATATCGGTCATGTATTTTGTCCGCCATGAGTACAACTTTAGCCACAAGTGGAGCGGCCTGGCCATGCGTATGCTCCAAGTGTCTGCACCGCCGCGGTGAGTTTTGGTGTCTCACTCTTAATCAGAACAGTTGAATCAATTCCTAATCTATGGATTATTCTGTCTCTCTAACTTAGCATTGCCATCGATGTGCTGCGCCAGGCGGCCAAGGCCTGTGTGGTTAAGCGGGACTTTGCCCGGGCCAATTTGCTCATCTGCCAGGCACTGCGACGGGCTCGGTAAGTGCTCCTTTGTCTTTCTCTCTTTCTTTTTCGCTATGTTTTGGTATTACTTACACTTACTTATCTCCCTCTTCCGTAGCGCACACTTTGGTCCAACGCATCAGAAATACGGTGATACCCTCCTGGATTACGGCTTCTTTCTGCTGAATGTGGACTCTGTATTCCAATCGGTGAATGTCTACAAGGAAGCCCTGGCCGTCCGTCGCGGCATCTTTGGCAACATGAACTTTCATGTGGCTATCGCTCATGAGGATTTGTCGTATGCCTACTATGTCCATGAATATAGCACCGGTGACTTTAGTTGTGCCCAGGATCATGTGGATAAGGCTGTGAACATTATGAAGAATCTAGTGCCGAGTAATCATCTCATGTTGGCATCGGCAAAGCGTGTGAAGGCTTTGTTGCTGGAGGAAATTGCGTTGGATAAGATGGCCGATGGTATGGATGAGGAGGATTTGCTATTGCAATCAGAGGAGCTGCATAACTTTGCCCTTCTCCTGTCGCTGGAAACATTCGGTGAGGTGAATGTACAGACGGCCAAGCACTATGGAAATCTGGGGCGGTTGTATCAAACCATGAATCGATTCGAGGAAGCCGAACGTATGCATCAGAAGGCGATCAAAATTAAAACTGATCTGCTGGGTGCCTTTGACTATGAAGTGGGCCTGTCCATAGGCCACTTAGCTTCGCTTTACAATTACCAGATGAAGAAGTATCATGAGGCCGAAAAGCTTTACCTGCGCAGCATCGATATAAGTGAGTACAAGTTCTACATAGTAACAAGATTCAAGTAATACTTGTTTGCCATGTGGCTAACAATTATAATTATTATTTATAACAAAAGGTAATCAATCTCTCTCTCTCTTTGTCTCTTTGTCTCTTTGTATAGGCCTGCGCTTGTTTGGTCATTCGTATTCTGGCCTGGAGTATGATTATTTGGGCCTGTGTCATGTCTACGAGACGCTGCACAATTTTGAAAAGTATTTGCAGTATGCGCACACCCTGGAAAACTGGCAGATTCTGCGTGGCCAGAATATCACACAAAATGTAGGTTTAATGCCAAAATCGTTATAATAACAAGATGAGTAAGAGGCGTCTTGTTATGCAACTTATTATAATATGTTCTTATAGGTCATATTTTAATTCCAATTTTTTGTTTCCTCCCTTAAGAAGTCTAGCTATCCGGCCATCGAGGAGGACTATTCCATTGAGGAGGTCAAGACCAAGTTCTTCAGCATGTCGGCCTGCAACAAAACCTCCAGCAGCAGTCCATAAAAATCCCAAGTCATGCTTTGAAAACAAACATAAAAGAAAAAACCTGTGGAAAGTGTGTAGAGTGGAAGAAATGAAGTAAAAGCGGCGGCAGATATATTTTCGCTACGTTTTATTTTTGTTTTTTGTTCGGTTTTTTTTTTTTAAAAAAGCTTCAAAATTAGCAATTAGCAAATATTCATATTCAGTAAGCTAATGTTCACATCTTGTTCCCCCACATCGAATACGTCCAATCCCAGATCTTTATCGTCCACCCTAGGCTTAGAGCAAAGATGTTTATGCAGTAGTCGTAGTTGTTGTTAGAAGGGCCAAGAGTTTAGCCTACGCATAGCTACTTTTCTCCGTACAAAAGTGTGTTGAATCTACTCCCCCCTTTAATTTTTTATTTATAATAGTTTTTGTATGTTTTTTTTTCGAGAAATTCATTGAGAAAACTTTATGATTTACCTACTGCCTTATGAATGTGATTCAAGGGGTCAACTGTTTATGTTTTTTTAGATTCTGTAAGGTTAGCCAAGGACACAGAATAAAAGTGTATAGAGAATGAGAATGGAAAAAATGTATAGTCTATATAGATGGATCCAAGCGATATATAAGAAGTATGCTGCCTGCCGCAGCCACTAAGGTTCCATGGAGAGGATCGAATAAGCAACACCACCACTCAATACACACACACACACATCCACACACAGCTTCCAGTTAACAAAAGGTTTATTAAATAATAAATAATATAATATATATATATATATACTATAAATTTATATAAATAAATGTGTATTGAATAACGGACAATTTGTACCATTAACATTTGCTACGTAGACGTAGTCCGGAGATATACTTATGATACATTTTAGTGGCATTACTTAGCAATTAATTGTAAGTTCTAAGTGCGAGCCGAAGCGTTGTAAATCTCAAAATAATAATAAAATCAAATGCAAATCCCTGAATGTTTCTCTATTTTTTTTTAAATTAAATATAAATAAATAAATATTCTCCGCATCTAAAAATAATTCATATTTAAACGCGCAGGCTCTTGTTAAAGTTTTTGTATTGCCATTTAACTTTTTTATTTTTCTCAGTTATATTTTATTTAATAAACCGAAATTTATATACCCTTGCAGTTTGCTATTCAAATGTAGGATCTAATTGGAAATCGATCAAATCGAAAGCTTTAAATATTCACATTCTTTATCAATCAATATTTTTACATTAAATTTTTTTCCATAAATAATAATTTTAAAAACTCATAATTCGGTCAAAAAAGCTTTAATTTTAATTCGGAAAGCTGTTCTATGTTAGTTTTTGATAGTTTAACAAATCTGCATACTCAACCCAAACTTAAAAAAAATTAAAATTTTTTTCATTTATTTTTTAAATTTTAATCCCTTAAAAATGTGGAAAAAATATTTCAAAATTTTTTTTCCTGCTGATGTACCTAGATCGACTCAGCTTTTCATGATGATCAAGAATATATATGATTTATAGGGTCGGAAATGACTCCTTTAAAAATTACAAGCTTCTGACTAAAATTATAATACCCTTACAAGGGTATTAAAATATAAATTTTAGTATTTTCAAACAAAAACGTATTTAATTTATCTTGCGATTAAATATACCAAAAATATACTGCATAGCAGTCCCGCAAAAGCTAATTGCTATAAAACTACCAAATGACAACAGCTGTTTGCTGTAAAACAGCCCGCGAAAATGCGGGTGAACCAGTAAAGCCAATAAGTCGGAACTAGAACCGTTTACAGTTAGAATTGCAAGATCATTTTCATTCGTCGTAATTTTTCAGCGCGTGAAGATCAGTGAAGAAAAGTTTTGCAGAAATAATGGAAAACGCTTTATTTGCAAATGTGAAAAAGTTGTACGATCACAAGTTGTACGAGTGCGTGATTCCAGCGGTATGTATTAAACCGAAAGAGATCCAGAAGATCAGATTTTTGAGACACAACTGCGGAACGACGCGCCGCCATTTGCAGGCAGGGGTGCTGCTGACGCTTTTGCATAACGATCGCACCCTGGCCACCCAGGAGGTGGAGTACCAGGTGCAACACTATCTGGCTGGTGCCCAGTTCAAGGAGCGCCAGTTTCGTGCCGCCCAACGCACCCTACAGGAGTTAATTCATCAGCGCAGCTTAATGGTGCGCAAGCGAAATTCCAATATGGCGGCCATTGAGAGCGTCTATGCGGAATTTGGCGATGTGGAGATGCGTCGTCGCCTGGCGGAATGCTATCGAGAGATTGGAAACACAAGGTTGGCCATCGGTGTGTTGCTCCAGGTGCCCGTTAAGTCGAGGACGCCGAGGATTAACTTGATGCTGGCCCGATTGCAGCATTATGGCGGCCCAAGCAGCGCCGGAAGGAATAAGGCCGAGGCATTGTATGCCTACAAGGAGGTGATACGCGAGTGTCCAATGGCGCTGCCGGTGATCCGTGAGATGCTCGAGATGGGCTGCGACGGGAGTGAGGTCAACTCGTTGGTTATGAACGGTAGTAGCCGGGCCAATGCTTTTCCTGATGATAATCTCTATATCAATTCTTTCTTTCAGCTGCCGCATCGCCCCAGGATATCGAATGGCTGAGCATCTATGTGAAGGCTCTTGCCCAAATGCTTAACTGCCATCATTTGGATGCGGCTCGAACATTTGAGCAGATCAGCGTTGGCTCTTGCCTGCGACGAAGCGAACATTTGCTGCTGGCCACTGGCAAGTGCTACTACTATCACGGTCAGTTTTTGAAAGCAGAGCAGTGTCTGTCTGCCGCCCTGCACGCCAATCCCTATAATCTGGAGGCCATGGGTGTGCTGAGCGTGGTCCTCGAGCTTGGAGACTATGGAATGGCGGAGCGGGATCGCCTCTACGCTCAGCTGGTGTCCGAACCCGAGGCGGAGACGGAGCATCCGCACCTGGTCACCGCCCATCATTTATTCCTTCGCGCCCATTACATGTTCGTTGAACGCAAGTTTGAGCGTGGATTGGGCTTGGTGAGGCGTTGCCTCCAGCTGGAGCCGCGTCATCCGGAGGCACTGCTGCTACGGGCTCGTCTCTACACGGAAATGGAGCGTTATACGGAGGCGGCGGTAGCATATCGCGATGCCCAGCTGCATCTGCCGTATCGCTTTGAGGTCTTCAAGGGTCTCTTCAACTGCTACCTGGCCCAGAAGAGATACACGGAGGCGCAGGCCATGTGCACGCTGACCCTGCGCAGCTTTCAAACCTCAGCCCGATGCTATATACTCTTTGGACGGACATTGTTCTCCTCTGGGAATGTGGAGGTGAAGAAGACGGCCCGTAAGTTTGCCCAGCGAGCGTTGCAAATCGATGGAAACTATATGCCGGCGGTGGCCCTAATGGCGGATATCTATGAGCTGGAGGGCGAGACGAAGGAGTGTCTAAAGCTGTTGGAGCACCATACAAACTGCCATCCCCATGCGGATTTCTTTGTCCAAATGGGCAATATGCTGCGGACAGAGAGGCAGCCCATCAAGGCATTGGAATACTACTACAAGGCACTGGGGTGAGCGTTATAAATGTATAAATCCACCTTAACCTATTATTTTTTTTTTACCTAGAATGAATTCGAAAAGCTTGGGCGCTCTGCAAGGTATAGATAGCCTAAAGGGCTGCTCCTTTGACATTGAATTGATTGCGGGTATCAAGCGCTCCACGGACAAAACAAGCCGCACGGAGGATCAGCAGGTTGTGAAATCAGATTGCATAGATTCGTCATCCACCTCGTCGAATGCTAGAGAGGCAGTATCCTCCTCATCAAACTCACCGAGGTCTGGACAGGAGAACGAGGATATATCGGAACTTGATACCACTTCGGAGCGAATGTGGGAGGATGTGGATGTGGATATGGTAAATCTGAACACCTCCTTTTGATTTTATGTATTTATAGTTTCTAAGTACCTTTTTTTTGTTTGTTTATGATTAACTGCCTTTGCCAACACTATTTAATTAGGGATTTTTGTGATTAGTTGCATTTTCTTAAACAATTTAAATAGGCATACGCTTTATTGAAATTATAGAATCATTTTAAATTCAATTTCAAATCGCTTCACAATCAATTAAAGCATTTTTGCCATCCTGATCACTTTGATCTGATAACAAACTTTGGCCGCACTTTATTTGGGCCTCCCAGTAGTCTGTGTTTTTTTTGTACAAAAAAATATATATATCAAACATGGAAATCGTGGGGATTCATGTTTACCGTTTTATTATCGTTTTTGTACTGATAATCTTCAGCGGAGTTCTGTGTTGGCTTCGCACCTGCGTTCTAGAGAAAGATATATATACCGATTAGGTGGGCAAATCGCTCCAAGATGCTGCCCTCCATTTCGGTCGCTCCCCAGGAGGATGTCCTAAGAAAACCCATATACGCTACGTATCCATAACAATTTCCATTTCATTGAGAGGTATGTGCAGTTGCGAAAAGAGAACAGGAAACTGAATTTGATAATAACTTTAATTTGATTAAATTTAAAATCCTACGTAAAATCAAATTTAAAAACGAAACCCAAACTAGTCAGCTCTTGTCCGCTATCAATCCTCAATCGTTTTATCGGTACGAAATAAATAATAAATTAATTTGATTAAATTTGAAATCTTAAATTAAATTAAAAACGAAACTCAAAATAGTCAGCTCTTGTCCGCTATCAATCCTATATCGTTTTATCGGTAAGAAATATCGTAAGCGAGCTTAGTTAATTTAACCATCACTAGAGAGCATGGTGCAATTAATGTGAGGTGATTTCTTCAGCAAATAATAGTCTGTTAAAAATACCAATAAATAGGTTTCAAAAGAACCTATTATAATAACAAGATTTTATTTTATTTTTTTTTTATAATATAAATTTAAATAGTTTTGAGTTAACAATTTAATTTTGTTTATGGGTTTAAAAATATTTTTGATAAGGATTTTAAATTTAAAATTAGAATTAAGCTTTATAAGCATGCATCTATTTAGGATTAGATTTATAAGCATGCATCTAATAAAGCTTAATCCTCAGATTATTATAATGTTATAACCTGTTATATAACCTATTATATTAGCAAAAAATAATTTTAATTTTACTAATTAATTTAAATTAGTCTTAAGATAAATTCGGTTTTGGTTTTTGTTTAGGATTTTTATTCCAAATCACAAATTTAATTAAGCCTAACAGCCCTATAAGGGTAATTTCACCAAGCAAAATCTTTTCTACACACAAAATCTTTACCGTTAGGGGACTTGAGCCCGAACGCTTGCGCAGCCGATGAGACCACCTCGTAATTATCGGCACCATGCGAAGCGGGCAGAGTCTATTTAAGCGAGCTCAACGCAAAATCGGTTTGAAATTTGTCGGCCGACGGCCGCTCGCTCGTTGCTCGTGTGTTTCGCTGCGTTTCGGTATCGCGTCGTCGTCTCTTCGAAAAACTATCTCAAAAATATTGAACCGGGAATCGAAATAATTAACTTTTGCTGAAACAAACAATTGTTATTATGACATTTTTAGGCATTTTCCAAGCCCGACTTAATTGAGGGTCCTTTTGTTTGCATTTGCTTACTGCCGGTTTGGTTGTTTTGTTTATATTTTTTTTTTGTGTGCCAAAAACGGAATTTTTAGAATTTTCGAAGCGCGGTGTGTGGAGTGCAAAGTGCAAAATTTTGAATCAATCTATTGATAACTGTTTGAATATGATTCGATTTAATTTGATTTGATTGCGATATACCTACGAATTTTTTCCCACTATTGTTGTTGTTGTGAGAATAAACAATAATAATAATAGTAAATAAAACGAAACCATTTGCATACAAATCTGCTGTTTTTTGGCAGCTGTCTTCGAAAAAAGGTTAGTTTCCTCCGGATGTCCAAATGGAATAACATTCTTACATTAAATGTTTTTAATATCAAAATATATAGGGTTATAGGAGTCTTTTCTAAAATGTTTCATATGAAGCAAATTTTAATTAATTGTACTTTCGAGATATTAATTCTCTAAGCTTTCGTAATAATTTAATGTCAGGTTTCTTCAAGTGAAAAGATTGGATTTTAGACTATAATATAGAATTGATTTCCCTTTTTGATATTTTACTTTTAGCTACGAGTTCCAACAAACGGTTGATTTAACCCGTCCAGCGGTCGTAGTGAGTTTTTTTATCAGCGGAATAAATACAAATGGGAGCGTTACACATGTTTGCAGCGATTGTGTTTTAGTTTTGTTTTTGTTCATTTCTTTTTAATGTTTTGTGGTGATAATAAAAAGCTGGCAGACCCAAAAGCGAAGAACAAAAGCGAATAGAACATGCCCTATCGAGTGGGTCAAGCCGCTATCGGGTCTCCACGCACTTGTTGATTTCGGTTATTCTCTGTGCAGTTTTAAGTTAAGAATTATTATAATTTTTTTTGGTTATTTAGAAGAAAGAAATAAGTTGGTGTTGAGTGTGCTGTGAGATTTCCTAGAATCGCATTATTTGGTCATTCCCTTGGCTTTGTTTATGCTTACGGATGACTTTCTTTGGGTTCCGGGAAATGCTTTTGCATTAAAATCAAATCCAAATGTCATAAATTTTTTTTTAAATTCATTTCTGACCCTTTAAAAATATGCTTTGTTTATTTACTAATTGATGGCACTTTTTGCAGTGTACTCCTGAGTTTGTTGTGCATGTGTGTGTGTGTGTGTGTGTCAACAAACAATTTACAGCTGTTTACGCCTGTTGGACGCCCGCAACAACAACAACAAACAGTTCCAGGAGCAAAAGGAGAGGAAATAAGATGAGTAGCCTGAAAAAGAAGTGGAAATAATGCAAAAACTCAGAGAGAGAAAGGAAGAGAGTGTGTAGGCACAATTTCCATTGTCTTTTGGTCGCTGCAAGTTTTTAATTTCTCAGGCCTTCCATCAATTTTCGAACTGATAAGAGCCAACGCACACCACACTAAACCACTGATAAGCACAACACATCATTCACAATCGAGTGTTTTCTGCTTTCAGTTTTGTTGTGCTTTAAAGCAATGTTAGTTGTTGGGCTGGGCGGCTTCCCTTTCCTTCCTTTCTTCTATGATTTTCCCATGGTCGCCAACGCATGCGCCTCTCTTTCCACACGCACACTTCCACTGATAGCGTTTATGGATTACAATAATTTCCAGTCGACGAAGCGCACAGTGGTTGTCCCGTATCCTTTTGTCATGTAATAAACACACCCCCACTGTGTGTGTAAGGCAATTAATTATGATTTTATTACCCTGAGCATTTAAAGAACAACAAATGCAGCACAATGTAAAATGATTTCTAAAGGGAAATGCCGCGGTTTTTTTAATACCCTTTAGGTTTTATATTCGAAATTGATTTCAATTCAATTTATTTAGTTCTTATAAATTTAGTAGTTGATTTATTCTAGTCCTCCCCCACTGTGCCAACTATTTTGCTATGCGTTGTGCTTTCCTTACCGCTTTCTTTTGCTTCTTATTTCGCAGCTCCTTCTACATCCTTCGCTCTCTCGCGGTCTTTCTCTCTTTCACTCTTCACTCTCTGCAAAATAGTTGGGCAAGGACTTGCGCGGAAGCTGCCCACGAAAAGGGGGGGGGTGGACAACCCTATGCAGTACCGTTAAAGTTACAGTTTTGTCTCCCAGTCATATGGTCGCACCGTCAAGTGGCGGAGTTGCGGTTTCGGTGTCGCGGAGTCGTCGCGGTGTCCATGTCCAACTCCAAACTGCAAACTTCCTACAACTGATTTACCTTCCGTTTCCGACTTTTTCAATAATTTGTGAAGGTTCTCTCCATTTATCTACGGTTATTTACATATATATATTTTTTTTGTTATTGTGCTGTGTGTGTAGTGCGTGAGAGAGTGCAAAAAAAAAAAAAAACGGTTACCGCCTTGGATATTGGTACCGTTATTGGTAATAACGAACGTGCTTCCTTGTCTGGGCTCGAATAAAAAAAAGTTCGCTGCTGTTTTTCGGGTCGCGTGCAGAAAAAAAGTAAGCGCAGAATTTAACGTAAATTTCAGAGTGTTTTTTTGTGTAGTTTTTCTCTTTTTTTGTTTTTGTTTTTTTATTGTATTGCTGACTGACTGACTGTTTTCTCCGGTTTAAGGAGGGTGGCAACCATCGATTTGCGTGTCGCGCTGCCAAAAACACTGAAAAATCCCAAAATCAAAATCAAATCATCGGCACAATGGCGAAAAAATAAAAATAAACAAAAGAAATCAAATGCCAAATAGTAAAATCGCAATTGTCTGAAATCGAGAGAGCAACAACAGCACTTATAATGATTATTATTATTATTTATATTATTATGCTGACTGTCTCTGATATTGGAACTTGGCGTTTTATCCTATAACACTGGGTATTTCTGTGTTGGAATGTGCCCATAGTGTTGGTTGTGTGTGTATGTAAATCAGCACAAAACTAATGTTTATTTGTTTGACTTATTTTGTTATACCCATTACTCCATATGCTACAAGGGTATAATTAGCTTTTGGGTCTATTTAACGGTTTAATGCAGTTATAATCTCCCCATAAAGTATACTATACTATACAGTCTTGATTAAGCCTTATTGAGTAGGATTATTAGAACATGTCCGTTTGTCCGTCTGTAGTTTTGTCCGTAGAAAAGTATAAATAAATAATAAATTATTAATTTCCTTTTTATACCCTTGCAGAATATTATATTTTTAGTCACAAGCCTATAACGCTGTGAAGGATTCATTTCCGACCCTATATATCATATATATTCTTGATCAGCATGAATAGCCGAATCGATCTAGACATGTCTGGGACAAAACAAAATTTATTAAAAATTTGACATTTTTATAAGGGGTTACATCGTTAAAATCTTCAAAAAAAATTGATCGAAATTTTTAATTTTTAAAATATTTTATTTGAGTATGCAGATTTGTTAACTTAACAAAAACTAACATAGAAAGGCTTTCCGACTTAAAATTAATACATTTTTGGCTTAGTTATGAGTATTTTAAAAATTGAATTTGTCGAAAAAATGGTCATATAAAAATATTGATAAATGTTGATTCAAAGAATAGACCAAATCTTAAGCTTACAATCCTTTTTTTTACAATATATCAATTTACATATAAAGTATCGTTTTATTGTAATAGCTAAAAATAAACAAGTGACAAGAAAGGACCTTAGTTTTGGGGTATCCCACAGTCGAGATTTATTCTTTATTCCTTTATCTAGTTATTTGTATATTTTTTTGCTTTTCAATTATATGTCCACATGCAATGGACACCCCTCATAGCACCAACTCGTAATATCCGACCGATATGCATATGTAAATATATATAGTATATAAACACAAACAGAAAAACTGTGACAGCTCCAAGCTTATTGAGTTTATCTGAAGTTTTTATTTTTCCCCACTTATTACGCCGTCATCATCCACTCATATATCGTGTATATAGTATATATAGTATCTGTAGAGTGTATACGATGTTTTATCCATAAAATATTGCATACTGACAGATCCAGTTTGAACCACTTAGGGGTAGAGCAACCAATTTATGATTATAGACCAAGAACTTGCATTGATCGGCGAACAAAGAGCGATATATTCCTTTATGGCTCGTATATTAGTTAAAAGATAAGCTCGCTGAGGGCGCCATATGGCTATACTTGTAAACTATAGGTTATAGCATCATGATAAGGCTATATACATATATATGTACCTGTATTTATGTATTACCTAGCTAAAAGCTTACACTAACTAGGCCACAGATAAGGGCATTTCAGGGAAACAGAACAAAGTCATAAATACTAAAGTAATAACCCGGCGGAAATTAACTTCCTTGGTAATAATCCTTTATTACCATTCTATTCTATTCTTTTATAAATTATCAAGAAAAGTCTTGTCTTACACCTTAAAGATTTTATTTTGTATATCTTTGGCAATTTTCTTTTAGGATTTATGTTTATAGGAAAACCTTTCCTTTAACTATTTTCATTGCAAAAACACCAACTTTATTTGCCAGCACATTTATATAAAGTTTTCCTCCTGTCTATATGTACATATATATTTTCTTTCAATGACGATTTTTCCATGAGTCATTGCCTTTGATGAAGGGCCTCCCACTGCGTCTGGGCGCCTCTCGAAATGTTGTTTTTATTCCCATTTTGTGTGTTTTATTTTTTATTTTCCTTGTCAGGAGATTGAGTCATGTCGTCAGCTGTTCTAATGAGTATAACCTTTATGTAGGGGGATCGGTTGAGGAGGAGTGAATGGGGTGGCAGCAGCAGGCAGGAACAGTCACTAGTTGGGCTGACCTTGATGACCGCATGCGCTGGGCATTCGTCACGCACTCGAAAGTAGCAACAGCAGCAGCAGGAGTTATTTTCCACCCAAAAGAAAAGGTCACTGCGGCAAGAGGCCTGCACAAAAATGTGGCATTGACCTTGTATAATTCTTACCTGAACCTAAGGTCGCAGAGACCCAAGGTTTTCGGAAGGTGTCAAGCGGTGTGGCACATTAAGATATTACCAGAAATCTGTCATCAATATTGGTCTTTGACAGTTTACCTTCTTTTCTTTGATAAAATATATTTTGAGAAGATTTATTTGAATAAGAAAAAGATTATTTAAGAGCTATTATTATACATAGCAGAAGCTGGAATTTAGTTATTTACATATGATAGCAATATAAATTACCAAATCTGATTGCTATAAACATTCAAATTTGAATGCTTGTAAAGGCAAATATTAAATTATAATATAAAGGTTATAACTTTTTAATTAAAGTGTTTATTTGGTACCTAGGGATATACCCACAGGACACCAAATAACACACCCAATTCTATGTAGGCATTTCCGTTGTATTTCCCCCATTTTATTCTATTTTTTGTATTTTTTTTTGCGTGTCTTTACTCTCTTTGCCATTTCCGCTTGTCAAACATTTGTCAGCTTTTAGCTTATTGCCAACTTCTGTAGCTCTCCTCTAGCTAAATAGTTGGGTCTCTATATATATAGCTACATTTATACATATGTATCTTAGAGCGATTGCAAAGGCAAACCTACACTGGCTAGAGAGTCTGGGTCTTTGGATTTGGGCTTTGGGTTTGGATTTGGAGTTGGATTTGAAATTGGGATTCAGTATGGGGTCCAAGACTTTAGCCCACCTCGCAGTGGCTTGGCTTTAGTCGGTTTTCATCGCATATTTACGTAGGCCATTCAAGCCAAGTTAACGCCTTTATTTATTGACTTATTTGTTTAGACCAGGCCACCACCTCTCTCTCTCTTGCCACTTTCCGCTCTTTCGGTGTGCGTGGAAGGCAAATAAAACTCCATTTACCGTTTTTCTACTTACGTTTCTTATGATGATGTCACACAAATAGTATTTTCGCATAACTGAACCCGATACTATATAGTAATTGAGAACTATTGGAATGTATATTGAAAGGAAAAGTTCAATATTGGCAAGAATATATGGAAAATATTGTTAAAATATCGAAAATGTCGTTATAAAAGAAATATATTGATCATTTTGTTTCAATTAATTTTTCTAATATTATTTCGATTATATTTGTATGATATATTAAATCGATTTATCGCTTATCACTTTAAAATATCTATTATATCGATATTAAATCGATTTATCGCTTATTTATTACTTTAAAGTATCTATTAAATCGATATGTATAGATTTTTTTATTGAATATAGATACTTTATCGTTATATATGTACTTTTTGTCAACATTATTATAATTTCCATTATTTTTCCTTACTCGCAGCTGAGGAAAATCAACAGAAGAACACAGAAGAAACCAAAAAAAACCGATCACAAACACGACGGATATATCAACAGAAGATCGGTAAGTTCATCAGGGGTCGGTGAAGGTGTTAAATATAGGGGGAAGTCTGGAAAGTTGCGACACAGGAACTCTCATTGTTATTTTCCCCCTCAAAGTTTACTTGACATTTTCAAAAATAAGGGGAGATAAATGGAAGTTGGTAAAATATATATTTTATTATTCGAAAGTTTTTTAGAAACTGAGAAGAAACTTGTATCTCTTCTGATATTTTGCATCTCAGTGAGTCATTGTATTAGGACATCTCTTGATCACTTTGGATGACGGAAATCCTTTCACAAGAAAACGAATTCTTCTCTCAAGCATTCATCCCTGAAAAAAGAAGAAACAAAATAAAATACACATTCGCAATGCACTAATCACTTTGGTTCTGGGAAAGTGTTCTTATGCGTGAATCATGTGGCTATATGTTAACGCCCCGGTTTCGGGCTCTATCAAACGCGTATCTCTTGGCCGTGATACAAATAAAAATACAAAAAAGCAGTTTCGTCATAGATCAAGATGATGACGATGCCTCAGACTATACAACAATCTCCCCCAAATATATATATATATAATACTATATAGTCGCGACGAGTGCGATATTTATTTTTGGCATTTTTTTTTGACTCTTCGTGGGGATTATGTCGTAGGTCAGGGAATGTATTTCTTGATATTTATGAATGGGGAAAAGAAAATGAAATTTGTCGTGTGACTCACAGTGCTGCATATTTTCGGGTCTCGGTTTCAGTTTCAGTTTCATATTCCGAGTCAGTTTTTAGTATCATTTTCGATTTCGTTATCGTTATCATGAGTATATATCGTCACGATTGTAGTATTGTCGCCACAATTGGCATTCCACAAACCTAACAGCGAACAATTTTTTGGGGGGGCTTTAAAATTCATTCATTCACAGAGTTATGATTGGCCGGAAAGTTGTCGTCATTTGTCATATGAATATTTCAATATTTATGAGTGACTTCTCCTAGCTCCTCCTCGACTTCCTTCCTCCACCTTCTCATCAGATTCAATCACACATTTCTCTATATTTTGGACAGTTCATTTATTTATATTTCGACAGGGGTAGAGTGTGTCAAGTGATCGCCAAAGGGCCAGTCTGGCATACAAATGGGTATAGATTGGTTTTCTTTTATGGATTGAGAGAAGGGGGAACTGGAATCATCGATCAGTTTGGCAGTTGATCAAACAAATAGATAGACAGGAATGAAAGATCAGGAGGGGATCACAGGGTGCTAAAGGTGACTTTAAAATGTATTTCGAAAAGAAGTAAGGACTTGATAAGTATTACTTTGAATGTTTCCATTGTCCTAGGATCAGGATGGAGAATCTTAAAGTAATTCGAGATTTTAATCTCTCTTTTGTGATACTTTAACTGTTGAAAAATTTACCTTTATTGTGGGTTTTTCTAAGGCTTTTCCAGATCTTTACTTGAGATCTTATATTTACATCGATTTGTGTATCTGTTCATTAGATATTGTACTTATTGATGCCTGCTTGATAGCTTTTCTTTCTTACTTGTATTTCTTAATAAGTTTCATAAATTCCTTTATGGAAAAATCTCTCTCTCTCTCTCTCTGATCCACTGATCTCTCTTTCACTCGACATTATTCATGAATGCTGCCCCCGGAGGCGATCTTTTGTCTCTTTGTCGCCGCTGTTCATTCAATTAATTGCACAGTGAAGAGAGCGAGACTCAGTCGCAAGTTAGTTGGTACATCTCTATGTGTATCTTGTATCTGCATCTGTATCTCGAGTAGAGACATTTCCCATGGCTGTGCCTTGCCTCTTGTAAATAAAAATATAGTTGTTCGCGCACGCAATTTGCTGTTCGCTCATCTCTGGAGATCTTCAGAGATCTGTGATGCTGTTGCTGTGGTCATGAACCCGCATTGTAGTTGCCATTTCATTTGTTTATTAATTACTCAGACCCCTCTCGCCAGCGGTTGATGGATGATGTGGCTCCCATCACCATCGTCAGACTTCCAACTCCGTATCCATCTGTATCCACCATCTCCGGCTCCATGTCATTGGCATGTGGGTTGTGGGTGAAATGAAACCATTCAAGTTACTGGATGGATGACAATGAAATGCTAAAGTTTCACTTATTTATTTATGTATCATTATACATATCAATGGATATTTATACATATAGCGGAGTATTAGGAAGTTTGATCTTATAACTATATGATATAATAGTAATACATATGGAGTGATCTTGTAATTAAAAAGATTTCAAAGGCAACTCCAAAAATCTTTGAAATCTAATACTTCTCAAGCTTCTTAGATCTCTTAAAACCTTTTTATACCTGCCTTAAATCGTATTTAAGATCTTTCTCTTTTGCTTTATCATAATATCTGTAAAAACATTAACTTACCCTTCAGATCTGATGCTCTTTAAATTCTGAAAAGAATGTTTTTATATAGCTCAGAGGGGGTCCTCATCTTCGTTTTATTTATTTTTGTTTTCTGCAATCTTGGCTAAGCAGGCGTGAAATCATCGTTATTATAATGATTGTTTTTTGCTCTGCCAGGCTAGGCATTATTATCGAATTAACACTCGGCTTCGCAAAGGCCCATTATAAAGAAGTTAGGGGAGTGTGTGGAAGCCGATTAAATGCTTCCAACGATTGTCGCCTATTAACGAAATCAACTCGGGATGCGGGCGGTCGTCTGATGATGGGCCTAATCAAAATTGTATTTATGATGTTTATATACCATATAGTATTTACTTTTTACTGGGTCAGGGGTATGCAAGCGTGTTGCGTACTTTAATTTTATTACATTTAATGGCATTTAGTCATCAAGGGATTTTCTCTATCTCTCTTTTTCGCCTTTTCTCTGATTTTTGTTTTGGTTTGTCAAAAAAAAAATCAGTGTTTTGACAAAAAGATCAGTGAGCTTGAGGGGTTTAATGAATGGGGGCGACAAGCGATCAAATGTCCGAATGCCAAATGGTTGTGCATAAGCTGAAAACAAAGTAAGAAAAAAATATATATAAATTAACACGAAAAATAAAACATAAAAACAATCTTAAAACAATAAAGAAAACTAACTTCGGAAAGCCAAAGTTTATATGCCCTTGCAATTTGCACTCGATTATAGGATCGTTTCGAAAATCGATCATAACTAAGCTTTAAATATTCGTATTTTTTGAATAGATATTTATTTATATTTTTACATGACCATTTTTTCTAGAAATTAAAGTTTAAAAAAATCATAACATTGCCAAAAATGCATTAATTTTAATTCGGAAAACTTTTCTATGTTAGTTTTTATTAGCGTAATAAATCTGCATACTAAATTTAAAGTTTAATGAAACTCAAATTTTTATCAATTTTTCATAATTCAATTTTCATTATTTTAACCCTTATAAAAATGTGAAATTTTTGAAAAAATTTAATTGTTATCGAACATAGCTAGATCGACTCAGCTTTTTGTGCTGATCAAGAATATATATGATTTATAGGGTCGGAAATGACTCCTTCGATGCGTTTTAAGCTTCTGACTATAATTGTAATACCCTTTTTTAGGGTTAAATTTCGATCGTTCCTATGGCAGCTATATATATGTAAATATATAGTCCACCGATCCGCCATGCTCCGACTTTTATACTAGTTAAATTGTAGAATAACTCGATAGTTTCATTGTAATAGCTCCAAAACAAAATTCGCACATCTGTGCTTATGATTCCCAACTGGTTCTCACCTCCCCGGAACGAAGTGACTGCTGCCGGCCACGTCTCAGATATGTGTTGTGTTACAAAAGTTGCAAGTCATTTACTAGTTTACTAGTGATTAAAGTTAGTTACTGATCATACATACTTACTAGTCATAGATACTTATTGATCATAGTTACTTAATGTTCATTGATACTTACTGATCATAGTTAATTACTGGTCATAGATATTTACTGATCATTGCTATCTACTCCTCATAGTTGCTTAATTTTCATTGATACTTGCTGGTCATTGTTCAATTGATACATCAAAGTTTACAATATTTTGTATATTTAGCATGCTATATACCAGAAATCAAATAAGAATTTTCGAATGTATTTTCGGTTATAGTTTAATAATTTAAAACATCAAAAATTATCCCATTCATTGTAACTATAAATACGAAAATAATAGAGGAAAATCATTTAAAATTGACTATATTTCCGTCGATACATCATACCTGTTATGGTCTTTGGGGATCTCTGCCAAACTTAACCACCTGATGTACGTAAAGGTGAAGACAAATTGGCCAGCTTACATCATTTTTTTTTTTTTTTTTTTTTTTTTGTTTTTAGCCAGAAATTATGATTCGCCCCAAAGGCTATTAAGAATTTTTTGTCTTTGGTTTCGGTTTCGGTTTTGGCCTTTAGCAGCCGGTCGTTGTCGTGTTGGGTGGGCGAGAGATTTTCGTGTGTTTTTGTGTTTGGCTCATTAAGTGGCTCAAATGGCAGTCAAAAAAAACATAAACAAAGAAAAAAAAAGACCCAAAACAGAGCCAAGAATCATTATGTCAATGTCTTTGAGCTTGGGGGTTACCTCATGCCCTCATATTCCCCAACTCCAAACCGGAGACTCTTTGCACTTGAGACTCCGGACTCTATTCTTGGAGATTTTGCAATCACTCGCCTGCCACGACTGTGTCAAGTGTCGATCTCCACTTGAATGTGGAAATCAATTTCATTTAAGATACCTTCTTTTATTTTTTTGTAAGAACTCTCGCTTTTGTCTCGTCTAGAGTTTCTATAGGATCATTTTGGGTGTCTAAGGATCATGACTTGGCACTCCTTTCCGTCTAAATGATCCCTTGTTTGAGCCATCCATCAAGGCGTCTAGATCAAACGATTTGCTGCCGATTGAATCATTATATATGCCTTTTGATGATGATGATCCTCAGATCCCAGATCCCAGATCCCAGATCTCTCTCTATGGATCCCTATTGTCTTGTGCATAATTTGTAACCAAATTTAGTAGCTTCTCTGGTGATGGGTTTGAGGGTTTTTTTTTTTGG